CGCCTCCACCTCCTCCCAGCTCCACTGCTCCACTGGCGCGCACCTCCCCTCCCCGTCCTCGCCCTCCTCGCTCTCCCCTTCCTCCCCGTTTCCCTTCTCGCTGTCACTGTCAACTATGCCGGATGCTTTGCCATCGAGAGGGGCCACTTGGGGGACTGGCAGGGATGTGGGGTGGAGGGGAGGGGCGGGGGAGAGGGGAAGGGAGAGGTGGGAGGGGCGGGGAGGAAGTGAAAGAAAGAGGAGGGGGATGTGAGTGGGGTGGTTGTGATGGCTCATGCAGGCTGCTTTGGAGGACTCGTGAAAATTATAGAAAGAATAAGAATCCTGATGTTGCGACCACTTCCCAGAACCACAAGATGTGGTTATGTTATATCGAGACAGATAATACAGGGGATGCTGGTACATGAAAAAGCAGGAATGCTTGACAATGGCAGCAATGGAAAGGAGGGAAGGTGTGACTAGGAAACTCACAACGTCTCCTTGTCCTGCAGAAGACTATAACGAGGATGACTACCCCCACAAGGAGCACAGATGCTGTGACGATGAGCGCGAGGAGAGTGCTCGCTGGTGGGGATGCCGCAGGGGATGCAGGAGCGGGGGAGATGGGGGCGACAGAGGCTGGCGGTGTGAGGAGGCGTGGGGAAGAATGAGCGAGGAGGAAGGGGGAAAAGGAAGGGGAAAGTGCAGGGAGAAGGAAAAGGAAAAGACGGGAAGAATTCGATAGTACGAACAGAAGATAGAGGCAGAGCAGAGATGCGAAATATGGCAAACTCACAAACGTGCATCAATTTCTGGCGAGAGGTAAGGGGAGGAGGTCAGAGGTAAGAGGAGAGGAGCAAGAGGAGAGGAGCAAGAGGAGAGGGGTAAGAGGAGAGGGGTAAGAGGAGAGGGGTAAAAGGTGGGAGTAACAGGTAAGGGTCGGGTGGGGTGGAGCGGGCACGGTGCAAAAGGTGAGGTGAGAGAAGAGGAGGGAGTGAAGCGTCGAGTGAGACAGGCAAGCGAGACAGGAAAGCGAGTGGGAAAGGAGACACGAGGAGGGGAGACGGAGAGGAGGAGGAGAGGGGGAGATGGGTGCTCACTAAGGGGCATGTCCGCCAGTAGTCGCCGCGGCGGTGTGCCCACGCCCAGCAGCAACCGACCTGCAGGGGGCCGGCACAAGAGGCATGGGATGAGGCATGGGATGAGGCATGGGATGAGGCATGGGATGAGGCATGGGATGAGGCATGTGACGCGCCATGGCATGAGAAGCTAACACGGACACACGAGCTCGCAAGACGCACGAGCTGGCAAGACGCACGAGCTGGCAAGATGCACGAGCTGGCAAGACGCACGAGCTCGCAAGACGCAAGCAGCCATCCACCCTCTCCGTCCCTCCAACACCATGCACCATGCCCCATGCACCGTGCCCCATGCACCGTGCCCCATGCACCATGCCCCATGCACCGTGCCCCATGCGCCGTGCCCCATGCGCCGTGCGCCATGGCTTACCAGCGTGCGAGGCGAGGGCGTGGGGGCAGGCGGCCAGCAACAGGACGAGCCACACGCTCAGCGGCACCACGTCTGGGGGCTGCTGCCGCCCGCGCTGCTGCTGCCCCTGCCAGCTCCACATCGCCGCCATTCGCCCTCCGCGCACGCGCTTGCTTCCGCGACCGCGCCTCTGTTCCCGCGCCCGCGCGCCTGCTTGAGCCTTTTGCGTGCGCTTGGTTGCGCCTTTTCCGCGCGCCTGCTCGCGCCTATTGCAAGCGGACACACGCCGCCAACCTGGTTTCCGACCACCCTGGGCTTCAATTTAACCAAGTGTCTGCGAATGCGGCGCCGCCAGTTATTTCAAGTTGGCGGATTACTAGGGCCTCTTTCGGCGGTGCGATCGATTCAACGGCGATACTCCGCACCTTCTCCGACCGGAATTTCTCTGAGTCGAAGCAGCTCTCTGCCGACCCTAACGCCAACACAGTCTACACCTGAATCAGTCGGGTGTCCCTGAAACTGAATTGCTTCACCGCTTCGGATACCTCTCGTTCTCCTCCCTCGACCTCACGTCCTCTACCTTCACTGCTAGATGTTTACTCTTCGGCTTTCGCCGCTTCGGCTCTTCGCCTATTTGATGTCCGAAACACGCGGTGCTACGCCAGCTGCCGCGCTACAATCGATTCCCTAGATATCGCGGTGAATCGCCCGCGGTAGATGAAGAACGGCGGAGCTGATTGCGGTGCTGAGAGGTTCTACGGAAAGAAGAACGTCGACGGAGCCTAAAAGCCCTTCACGCGTCTCGTTCAGGCTCTTCCGAATCCATGATGCAAAACGGAAAAACTGGCATTTCCTAGTAGCCTTGTGACCTGCGTGTCTGGTACAATGGTTGAGTGAAAGTATTCCGAATACTGACGGCTACTGAGAGCTGCTATGGCAGTGCGAAGGATCGCTTTCGGGCGATTTCAGTCGTCACTGGCTGCTCGAGAAACACGTTCCTGGGAGAGTCAATCAGGAAAGGAATTTTGGTGAGTCGACTCACGAGAGTCAAGCAGAAGATGAAACTGCGCGGAGATGGCTCAGGAGTCAAGCAGAAGAGATGCCTCGAATTCGTTTGAAGCTATTCGCTCTTCCGCGCTTGCTACCTTCACTTCTGCGGTTTGTAAGTGTTTGCCACTCATCGCTACGATTCCTTGTGCGATGGCGCGCGCATGCGCACTGATGGTGCGCGCACGCGCACTGTTGGTGTGCGCCAACCCGCCCAGCTTGCGCCGGACGCGATCCATGAAGCTGGCATGCGGGCAAAAGGCGCTACCTCAGCGAGGGGATTCAAACATTGCTGGACTACTATAATGCGGAATGAGGATAATCTAGCGGCTTTTGCTAGCAGGGGACGTGTGACGCGTCACGACTCACAACACAAGAGAATGCGCGGCTAACAGGGATGGAGGACCTGAAACGAGGAGAAAGGAGAGAGGAGGGGAATGCTGGCGTTCAATCGTGGCCGTCGATATATTTATGTGTCAGGGGCAGGGAGATTTCTATGCAGCGTACTTTGCGGCAGGGTCACCCCAAATGGAACGCGGTGGCTTTCGGGCAGGCTCTCCGGTATTTCTGGTTATAAACGTCCGATGTTGAAGTGAGAAGAATCCGACGGTAAATGATGGTCTCAAAAAGATGCTGAGCTGACCCGTGAACGGGGTGCTGTGTAGATTGGTGCTGATGGCAGCGACGCCAATTATTGCCAGTGACGCCAACACAGCGACACAGATGTCAACATAACAAACAAACCGATAAAATTGGCATTTGTGAATAGAAGTGAGAATGAGATGAATCATCAAAGGGAAATGGTTAAGAGTTTCATTACTATTGGTCTAGGCCCAGCTTCATCAAAATTGAGGCAGGGTACCAGAGGCACAAGCATAGAGGCAAGTAGCAAACCATATCGGCCCAAAAGCAGGCCCAGAAGGAAAGCGCGATTGGCCCTCGAGAAAGCCCAGAGACAAGGCCTTGTGAAAGCCAAAGTGGCTTTTCAAGGCTCATCCCCAAGCCTACGTCTAGAAAGAAACGGCATTGCCTGCGCCCTAGTATCCCTCAGCCCAAGCGTCCCCTTGACAGGGATAAGGCCCTGACAGACCTGCCTACCCCTAATTCATGCTGCCCTTGGTTTTTGGTCTGAAAAGACATGGCTAAAAGGTCTAGGGAAGGGAAAGAGTAAGAGGAAGGGAGCAAGGGAAGATGAGAGAAGCATAAGAAGGGGGTGGGAAGAGGTACCGTATGGCCCCGGATATAAGCGCAGGCCTATTAAAAGCGCATTCGCTTGTATCTGGAGCAATGCGCTTATGGCCGATCCTCAATTATAAGCGCACCCCTTATAATACCCTGATATATTATAAGCGCATGTGTAATTTTATTTATAATTCTTCATTAAAACGGTAACGAATCTCAGTTTTGCAGCGAGGCCACAACCCATTTTCGCTTACATTGACTTTCGAAGACCTCTCACATCCTGCGCGTCCAGTCAGCACGAGCTGGCACGCCCTCAAAGTGAGGTGTTACTGTATTTTGCCTCTGGGCGCTCGCGAAGAATCGCCCGCGCGCGATTTTGACATGTGACTTTCTACAATTTCGATTCGATTGAAATCTGAAGGATGAGATGTACAATTCGGTGCATTGAAATATATATTTGTATTTGTTATATTCTAAGCGCATGCGCTTATAATTTTTACTCAATTATAAGCGCACCCCCCAAAAAAACACTGTTTTATTATAAGCGCAGGTGCGCTTATATCCGGGGTAATACGGTAGGTAGACAACAAGAAAGTTTCAAAAAGACCTCAAGCCTCGCAGCTTAAGCCCCTGGCTGCTGCCAAAGGCTGCTGGCGACTCATGCACAAACGCAGAGCACAAGGCACCTTGAGTGGCTGCGGCAGTGCCAGCTGCAGCTGCAAAGAGCCCAGAGCAGAACTGGGACGCCCCAGAACCTGTTGGTTCCAAGGCCGCCACAGCGGTACCGTACATTCACTTCAACTGCAGAAACGTCGGCAAATGGGAGAAGACGTGCAGTCAAGATAGGGGACTCCCCCCTGTTGAAGCTCCCACACCGGCTGGTGAAAGCACCTTCCCATGGTTCCCATTGCTGCCACACACAGTCAACTCACAAAGGCTGTGGGAGCGGCAGCCTCAGCAGCAGCAGCAGCAGCAGCAGCAGCAGCAGCAGCAGCAGCAGCAGCAGCAGCAGCAGCAGCAGGGTCGGCCTTAGCCGCGGCAGTGCCAGCAGCAGGCTCCGCAGCAGCGGCAGCAGCAGAAGCCTCAGCAGCAGCAGCGGCAGCAGTAGCAGGCCAAAGCACAGACTCCAGTACCTAAAATGTTCACTATCAAAAGACCTCGCCAAGTGTAGCAACAACTCAACTCCTCTGTCAGCTCACCACAGTTGAACAGCTCCAAACTTCACCCCACCCTCCCTCCTCCCCCCCCCAAACCCCCTCATTCGGTCGAAAGGGCAGAAGGCAGAAGCCAGACGGCAGGCAGGCCTAATCCCAGGCGCTTGGAGGAGCGTTGCTGTACCCGCCACCACCGCCGCCATAACCACCACCACCGTACCCCACTCCTCCCCCATACCCGCCCCCATACCCTCCCCCGCCGCCATACCCCCCACCGCCATACCCACCCCCGCCATACCCCCCTCCCCCTCCCCCGCGCTCCTTCCTGAAATCCCTCCCTCCGAACCGGTTTCCACCGCCGCCTCGTCTGCCCTTCCCACCACCACCATACCCCGACCGCGACGCGAAGTTCTGCAACCACCCGGGCACCTCCTGATTCGCCTCACTCATCAACTCTATCAGCGACCGCGCCAGGTTCGTATCCTTGTCACAGAAAAACGCCGTGGCTAAACCAGTCTTCCCCGCGCGCCCGGTACGCCCGATGCGATGCACGTAGTCATCGATGTCGGAGGGCAGGTCGTAGTTGATGACGTGGCTCACGTGCGGGATGTCGAGGCCGCGCGCCGCCACGTCGGTGGCGACGAGGATGGGCGTGCGGCCGGAGCGGAAGGAGCGCAGAGCCGACTCGCGCTCCTGCTGCGAGCGGTCGCCGTGGATGGACGTGGCGGGGAAGCCGTTGCGGCACAGCCAGTCCTCCAGCGAGTCCGCTCCCTTCTTGGTCTCCACAAACACCAGTGTGAGCCCGCCCTGTGGTGGGAGGGGAGTGTGTGGGGGGGGGAAGGGGGGGAAAGGTGGTGGTTGGTCGCCGTGGATGGAGGTGGTTGGTCGCCGTGGATGGAGGTGGCGGGGAAGCCGTTGCAGCACAGCCAGTCCTTGAGACAGTCGGCCCCCTTCTTGGTCTCCACCAACACCAGCTTGAGCCCGCCCTGTGGTGCGGGTGGTTGGGGTGGGGGGAGAAGGAGAAAAGGTGGTGGGGAGGAGGGGGTTGGTGAGACGAGTGGGGACTAGGTGGGCACATACGCATAGAGGGTAATGCAGCATGTGAAACAACGCCTCACAGCACTCGCCACGTGGGCAGCAGCAGTGCCATTGGAAATGTGGTGCGCGTGAATCAAGTCCATGAGCACATACTCATGCGATAGGAGGTATGCAGCAAGTGAAACAGCAGAGCCACACATGTAAAATCCATGAGCACCGATCGCTTGTCATGCTCGGGCACATACTCCACACCAGTTGACGAACCCACTCGCCCCCTAACTGTGTACTCACCGCGTTGCCAGTAGCAAAATTTGAGGTGTGGTGCGCGTGGATCAAATCCATGAGCACGGACCGTTTGTCATGCTCGGGTACATACTCCACGCGCTGCTGAATCAGATCAGCGGACGACTCCACGCAACCCCTGACTGTGTACTCACCGCGTTGCCAGTAGCGCCATTCGAGGTGTGATGCGCGTGAATGAGGTCCATCAACACCGATCGCTTGTCATGCTCGGGCACATACTCATAGAAGGATCGAGAGTTCGAGGCAACTGAAGCACATTCTCAGAGCACTCACCGCGTTGCCAGTAGCGCCGTTGGAGGTGTGGTGCGCGTGGATTAGATCCATGAGCACCGACCGCTTGTCATGCTCGGGCACATACTCCACGCGCTGCTGAATGAGATCCGTGGACGACCCCACGCGCCCCACCGTGAGGAACACGTAGTTGGCCAGGAAGTCGGCGGCCAGGCGCTGGATCTCCTTGGGGAACGTGGCCGAGAACATGAGCGTCTGGCGCTCGCCCGCGCGCGGCATGCCTTCCTGCTCCACGATGCGCCGGATCTGCGGCTCAAAGCCCATGTCCAGCATGCGATCCGCCTCGTCGAGAGCAAGGTAGCGCACCATGGTGAGGGATACCTTTCCTCGCTCCAGCATGTCGCACAGCCTGTAGACACATGGATGATGGGGAGTAGAGCAGGGTGCGTGTGGTCAAACGGATCTGCGACTCAAAGACCATGTCGAGCATGCGATCGGCCTCATCTAAGCCACGTAGCGCACCATTGTGATGGACACCTTGCCCCGCTCCAGCATGTCGCACAGCCTGTGACAGGGGTGACAGGGTGAGGGGGCAAGGGAAGTGGAGGGTGCGTGCTATCAGTCGGATCTGCGGCTGGGCTTCATGGAGGGCGAGACAGCGCAGCGCACCAATGTGATGGACACCTTTCCACGCTCTAGTGTGTCGCACAGCCTGGGGGTTGGGGGACCAAGGTTCAGAGTGCAAGCAGGTGTTTTGAGATTCACAAAAACCAGCTGGTCCCAGGGGTCTTACACAAACTCGGCATTCTTTGTCCTCGTTTTTCACAGCTTGCAGGATCCAGGAGTCAGGGCGCAAGGGAGCAGGGGAGTGACGGCAGGAAGAAGAGGTGCGGTTTGAGCCCCATGAGGGCCATGCAGTCAGCCTTGCCCACATATATGAGACACCGATTGAGGCCTCAAAAGTCGTCAGCCTTGGCCCCGTATATGAGACATCTCAAGATTCAGCAGGGAGGAGGTGCGGATAAAGGTTCATGAGAGGCATGTAATCGGCCTCGGCCGCACTAGGGCACTGCACGGAAAGTTTCTTGGAAAACTCAAATAACACTATGAGGAGCCTGCAGTGAGCCTTGCACATGCCTGGGTACTGGACAGTGGCCCTGCTAACCGTTTTCACTTCACATGTCCCAGCTTGTCGCACATCACGTGACGAAAGAGTAGTGGGTGTTGGGCAGGAGGCGGATAACTGGTCCGTGGACGCATGCACTAGCACTAGTGCCTCACGCTTGTGTTCTACAAGACGCATCGGAGCATGAGAGCTTATGGAAAGCGAGAATTTGAACTTGTGCATGTTGATGCGAGTGAGAGAAACGGCTAGAGGCCAGTGGGGATGAGGAGGAGAAGGAGGAGGAGGCTAGTACCTTCCAGGCGTGGCGACAAGGATCTCAACTCCCCTCTCCAGCTCCCGCATCTGCATGCATGCACACACGTGCAAGCACACACGTGCAAGCACACACGTGCAAGCACACACGTGCATGCACACACGTGCAAGCACACACGTGCAAGCACACACGTGCAAGCACACACGTGCAAGCACACACGTGCAAGCACACACGTGCATGCACACACGTGCAAGCACACACGTGCAAGCACACACGTGCAAGCACACACGTGCATGCACACACGTGCAAGCACACACGTGCAAGCACACACGTGCATGCACACACGTGCAAGCACACACGTGCAAGCACACACGTGCAAGCACACACGTGCAAGCACACACGTGCAAGCACACACGTGCATGCACACACGTGCATGGATTCATGAATGAATGACCCCCCCCCCCCTCCTCCCCCCCCCACACACACACGTAGCAACACGGCGGGATAGCCACAGACACAGCAGGCATACCAGCAGACATGCCATGCCCAAAGCAGATGCATGGGGAACGCACACAAAGGGAAACACACGTGTGTGATGAGAAAGAGGCGAATATAGCCCGCAGAGACAGTCTGCACGTGGGAAAAGCAAGCCCAAGCAGCAAGTACCACTCTTCTCCTTCTATTGGCTTGAACTCTAAATTAATCCTTGCTACGCATCAACGTACAATCATTAAGTGTACATTGGGACCGATTGAATATCACAACGCCTGCTGCCGACACAAACGCCTAGGCAAAGCCTTACCTGCTAGCCGTCAGGCAGCATATAATTACCTGCTGGCCGGCAGGGGCACCGCCATAAACGACGACTGCGCGCAGGCCAGTCTTGTAAGCAAACTTGCAGGCCTCCGCGTGGATCTGCGCGGAGGAAGAAGGGGCGAGGGGGCGAGAGGGACGAGGGGGAGAAGTGTTTTAAGTCGACTCAACACACGACGACGGCTCGCAGGCCGGTCTTGTAGGCGAACTTGCAGGCCTCCGCGTGGATCTGCGCGGAGGGGCGCAGGGGGCGCAGGTGGAGGGGGGGAGGAAGCGGACGAGCGGATGAGGAACGGGAAATGAGGGGGGGAGGGGAGAGGGTTGAGGGGCGAGGGGGGTGGGGCGAGCGGGGAGGGGCGAGGGGAGCGGAGCGAGGGGCGAGGGGCGAGGGGCGAGGAGGGGAGGGGGGGAGGGAGAGAAAGCACGAAGGAGGGAACGAGCCTAGAGCGCAGAGGAGTCGGGGAGGCGATAAGACAGGGAAACGGAACAAAGCATGGCGGATGGCGGATTCGCGGAGGGAGAGGCGGGAGTCGTAGCGTGGATAGCGGAAGGGAAGGGCACCAAGAACAGGAGGAGGCGAGGAGTGCAGGTGATTCAGCCAAGGCTCGCACCCGGCCCGTGTGGGCTCTCCCAAGTGCAACCTATTGAGACTGTTTCTACCAGCACGACAGCTGCAACCAAGCTCCTCCACCACTGAGGTGGCATTTGAGTCGACTCAAAAGTCACCTATGAAACCAGGCTCCCAGTCCACTACATCCCAGCCTCTCCGCAAAACAGGTTGGCAGTTGCTTCCAGTCCAGTAGAACATGTAAACAGAACGTATATCAGAGCGTGGGGCGCGTGGGGTTGCATCTCAGAGCAGAAACTGTGAAACTGACGCAACTGGCGCAATGGCCGCAGCCGTGACGGCAGCTCGTCATTTCGTCGAATCCCTCGATCCCTCACCTGGCTCGTGAGCTCGCGCGTGGGCGACAGAATCAGCGCGAGCGGGAACGCTTTGCGGCCGAAGCGGGGGCGGTCGGGCGGCGGCCCGGCGGCGAGGATGCCGGAGATGATGGGCAGGCAGAACGCGGCCGTCTTGCCGGACCCCGTCTGCGCGCACGCCATCAGGTCGCGCCCCGCGAGCGAGATGGGGATGGCGTGCCGCTGCACTGGCGTGGGGTTGGAGTAGTTGCAGCGCTTCACATTCTCCATCACCGCGGGCTGCGTGCGGAGGGTTTAGGGCGGTCAGGAAGAGACGGAGAGAAGAGGAGAGCAAAACAGAAAAGTTGAATTCGCCGCCCACGTTCTCCATCACCGCCAGTTGCGCAGCCGGGGGGGGAGGGGGGATTAGGACGAAAAGTAAAACAGAGAAGAGGGAAAGAGGAAATGAGATGAGGAGTTTGCACCCAGGAGCGAAGGAAAGGGTCTGCATAGGCGATTCAACGCCGCTGGTTCTTCCAAACCGCTGCATGCGGGCCGGGCCCGAGGTGGAGAATGACTGGGGAGCGGAAAATGGATGGCGAGAGATTCGACGAACTGACGAGCTTCAGTCACGGCTGCGGCAATTAAGTTGTTTCAGCGCCGAGTCGACAGAAACAAGGTGAGAAAAGGATCAATTCAATAGCCATACAGAACCGCGTGTTTACACGACGCTTCAACATCCAAGACGAGCACACGCGTCAAGCACGTGTCCGCCAAGCACCTGGAGCCCCGATCCGTCGAAAGCAGTGATGGCGGGGGGGACATTGTCGCCGCTGGTTTCGACGGGGATATCCTCGTACGCGTCGAAGTTAATGCCCGTGTTCTGGTGGTTCTCAAACACCGCCTCTGAGTCCTTCTTCGTCTGCGTCGAAAACGGATCCTCCTCCCGCCCGCCGCCTGACCCGCTAAACCCTCCCAGCGGCCCTCCGCCGCCGCCACCGCCGCCGCCCCGTCTCCCGCCGCCGTATCCCCCTCGGCCGCCGCCGTACCCGCCTCCGGCACCCCCCCCTTGCCAGGCGCCTCCGCCCCCTCCGCCGTATCCTCCGCCACCCCAGCCGCCTCCGCCTGAAGCTCCGCCGTTCCATGCGCCGCCTGGCGGAGGTCCCCCGTATGCTGGACCCGCCGCGCCTGCCTGATCCGCCCACGATCCGCCAGCTCCCCCCGCCGGCGCATTCCAGGAAACTACCGGCGCAGGGCCGGGAGCTCCCGGTGGGCCCATCCCCGGCATACCCGGAGGCTGCGCAAAATCTCCCCCGCCGACTGGCCCGCGGCCGCGCAAGTGGGGGGGGACGTACGACGTGATCGGCTGCCGTAGAATTGGTCCCTGTCCGCGGGGTCCCCCCGGAGCGGAAGGCCCGCCAGCGGGGTGCATGTATGGCGCGGGGGGGCCTGGCGCGGGCGGATGGGCTTGATGGGCCTCTTCCACCACATCGCCCCAACCTTGACCAGCCATACTGGCTACAGTAAGAGAACTGATGCTCGGATCCGCTGAAGGAGGCCTGATTATAGTGGGTTGTCGACCTTACCGAATTTAAGTTCTATACCAGATTGTGAATGAAACCTGAATCTCGATGCGATGAAACGACTGATTCGACACCGTTAAATTGAGGTCTACAAATCCGCACCAGGTACAGCTACACGATCTAGCGATTTGGAAAAACAATTGATTCAAACAGACCTAAAGAGAGATGTAATAAGACCTTGTTGCGATAACCTAGCTTGGACTAAAAATTGACCTAGGACGACTCTAGGAGGGCCGAGAGGGGAAAAGGAGGAGCCATGGAAGCCTGTGTTTTCATAACCTCGTAATTGCCAGAACGGTAACTTCACGAACAGACTGCGGTCACGAAAATTGAAGACGACTGGTAATCAAGGTTCGTTAGAGATCGCATGTGGTAATTCATGCGGCGAACACATCGTGGTTCCCAAAATGTTTCGCCCGCACAAGTGGAGCAGCAAGCCTTGAAAATGTCCGAGAGAAGCAGCGAAAAGGATAGCAGACGAACCGTGCAGGATGGGTCTAAAGGTTACAGCACCGCGCAAGCCAATCACACAGCTCCGTCAGTTTCTGACGTGTCAGCCAGACGGATCGCGAATCCAAGCAATCCGAAACGCCCAAATCCGTGGGTGTTTTCAAGGATTTGCAGGTGTATCAGAAGCAACAGAAACATGACATAAGCTCAGGCTTACACTATAGATCTAAGAAAAAATTGCTTTAAGAATGGCCCATGCCTGAAGACACAAACGCCCAGCTGAGCTTTACCCAGCAATGTTTGTCAGGTCAGAGCAAACCAGGTTACAAAATCACCTTCTATTCGACATCGGCAGCGGGGGAGCCTTGCTGGCACCATCATTACCCCAACCACCCAAGCCCCGTTTGTCCAGGTCAGCAAAGGACGTCGGTGGGGGACGTCCTCTAGGAGTCATCCCAAACGGAAGGCCAGCAGCACTGTAGTCATCAGCTCCATTGAAAATCCCATTGTCATTGTTAGAGCGGTTTTCCGAGCCATTCGCTGTAACCACGTGTTGTGAACCATTTAATAACGAGATGTCAGGGGTGGTTGTCGGGCAGTCCTCTCTAGCGCTGGATTCTTGTACCGAAGAAATTGTACTCCTGTTGTTAGGAACAGCTGCTGTAATTGGGGCTTTAACCGGCACTTTAGGCAACCTTGCACTGCTGCTGCTGCTGCCGGAGCTAGCTCCCGGACCTCCACCCGAGCCTGCACCGGCAAATCTATCCGCGCCTACCTCCCAGGGCGGTTTGACGGAAGACCTGGCGCCACGAGGGGGAGTAAGCAGCTCTCCCTGAGAGGAGAACCCCCCATAGCGACCCGCCCCCCTGGGGGTGAACCCCACTCCCCCACTTTCCACACTCCCACGCCCTTCAGAACCCACACCCTGTGCTGCTGAGGGAAGAGGGGCGGCTGACTCTGTCCCGTGTCCCACTCCCTGCCCCCCTCCATGCCCTACCCCCTCCTGCTGTGCTTTGGGCACAGACCGCATCAGCTCCTGCCCGTATATGCCCATGCCGCCAGGGGGGAAGAACGCGAGCGAACGGGGGGAGAACGACGACGGAGACGGCAGCCCCGGACCTCCTGCCAAGCCTAGCGCCCCGAACCTGTTCTTCGGAATCCAGCTCGGCCATTCCTTGGAACCAAATGCATTCCCTCCTACCGAGCCTACACCCGAACCAGCTGCCGAACCTGAGGGGTTGTCATTCCAGGTGGGTTCGTTAGAGAGCCACCCGCGGCCCTTGTGTGGAAGCACGTTCGGCCTGGCCGAGGGGGAGACGAAGCCCGCTACAGGACGGGGCGTGCCGCCCGTGAGAGCCCTTTCAAAGTAATCAAAGTCAGTGTCGTATTGAGGGCGGGGAAGAGCAGTAAAGCAGGAGGAGGAGGATGCAGAGGGGGCAGGGGCGGGTGAGTTTAGCACAAGGTTTCGGTTTGGGGTTTGGATGGGAACAGGTGTGGCTGCAGGCGCACTGGGTGCTGGCCCGGATGGCGCTTCAGGTGCTTTATCAGGTGATGTGGTTGCTGCAGCAGGTGGCTCAGCTGTTGCATCTGCTGCAGCAGCATGGGCAGCAGAGGTGGTTGGAGGGCCATTCATTCCAGCAAGGGGAGGCACAGTGGCCCCGCCCGTCCGGCCAGGCACTACTGGCGATGACACAGCAGTCAGGCGCAGACACGTCACTGCATTGCTGCTCGCACTGCCACTTGCACTGCCACTGGAAGTCGCGTCCCCTCCGCCCTCTCCCGCCCCCTTCTGCTCCTTCTCCCCTCCTGCAGCGCCTGACAGCTTCGCCAGCAGTCGCATGGGCGATAGGCCACGCATGCCCCTCCCCTCGCCCTTCCTCCTCCGCTCCCGCCCCCTCCCCCTCTCCGCCCGCCCCTCCTCTTCCCCCACCGCCTCCTCCCCTACCACCCTCCCCTCCTCTCTCTCCCTCTCCTCCTCCACACTCCCTTCCTCCCCCTCCCCTCCCACCCTCCCTTCCCCCTCCTCCACCGCCTCACCTGCCCCACACCCGTCCTCCTCCTCCCTCCCCGCCTCCACCTGGGCCAGTTTCCGCCTGCCCCAGTCCGCGCCTCCCCCAGTGCGCCCCAGTCCGCGCAGGAAGGGGCGGCGCAGGCGGATATCAGAGGGATCTAGCAGACCTCCGCACCGCAGCTGCCCTGCAAGCGCCTCTAGCTGCTCCTCTGAGAGGCTCTCACTCCTCCTCGCACCCCCCTCTGCGTTCCTGCTCCTACCCGTTCCTCCCCCTGATCCCTCTGCGTCTCCTGCTGCTGTTTCCTTCCCTTCTGAAGGGCGCTCACTCTTACGCCCCTTCCCCTCCTTCCCCTTCTCTTTCTTTCCCGATACTTCTTTTTCCGCCGCTGCAGCCATCTTCCTAAGCTGCTCTGCCTCCTTGCGGTCCCAGCTTCGGCGCCGAAGCTTCTGCGCGAACCTGTCCACCGCACCAAAGAGCGAGGTCGAGCCCAAGAGCGAGGACGAGGTTCGGTAGGCAGAGAATCCCGGAGATGTGGACTTCTGGCTAGGCCCGGCAGATGTGGAGGCCTGGTTGGGGGGCGTGAGCTGAGAAGAGAGGTTGGGAGGTTCGGGAGAGGTGGGGGTGTGAGGGGCGTTTGGGGCAGAGGCAGCGTGAGGCAGCGAGGGAAGAAGAGGGCTCGCAGGTGTGGGTGATGTGCTTGGTTTGGGTGGGGAAGGGGTTGGCGTTTTGGGTTTACACGGGGTTGTTGGCTTGGGCTGAGATGGGGTTGTAGACTGGGAGGTGGAGGAGAGTGCGGAGGGTGAGAGCGGAGAATCAGATAAAATTGTTGCTAATGGAGATGACTGAGCTGCTGAGGACGCTGCTGTTGGCACTGCTGCTGCTGCTGCTGGTGTTGCTGATGCTGGTGCTGCTGCTGCTGATGCTGGTGTTGCTGCTGCCGGTGCTATTTCATGTGCTGCTACTGCTGCGTCTGGCGCACTAGATGCACTGCCACTCGTTGCTGATTCAGGCGCAGCAGCTGCTACAACCCCTTCAGACACCTCACATCCACAACTCTGCTGGGCACCATCTAAAAGTTTTGCGTCCTGCCCGAGGTACGTCAACCCCTGCCGAGCCACCACTTTCATCAACTCAGCATCAGCCCCTGCCCCACTCCCCCCACCCACCCTCCCCTCCCGTCCTCCACCCCCATCCCCAAGGGCAGCCAAAAAACTTTCCGGCTCCTGCCCGTCCGTCACCATAACCGGCTCCCCGCCCAGACTCTCATACTTGATAATCTGCCTGGCGGTAGCCAACCCCTGTTGGGCCATGAGGGAGTGGCACTGCTTGCCTTCCCAGCAGAACACAGCAGATCCCACCTGCACCAGAAAGCACCCGCGCGGGTCCAGTGAGTTGCGCGAGAAAGGGACGGTTTTTGGGACCAGATGGAGCGCGTCGTAGGGGGAGTGCGGCGCCATGCGATACATGTGCTGCCGAACCACGCCGCCCGCCACTTCAGACGCTGCCGGCGCTGCTGCTGCGGATACTGTTGGCGGATCAACTGGTGCTGGGGGGCCTGCTGCTGCTGCTGCTGCTGTTGCTGCTGCCGCGGGGGCTGCTGATTTGGGTGGCAGAATTCGTTTCTGCCACTGCAGCAGCTGACATGCGAAGCCCATGTTGGGACTCGCCACGCCCCTCACCGCCTTCACCCGCCTGAACGCCTCCTCAAACTCCAGGCGCTGGAGAATTGTGGTGTGCGCAGGGGGCGAGCGGCACAGGGGAGGGGGAGGGGGCGAGGAACACGGGGACACAGGGACAGGGGGAAGGGGAAGAGGGGTGGGGGGGGGGGGAGGATGGTAAGGGCGCAGGATGGTTGCGAGTGCACTGGCATGCCGCATGCGAAACCATCTTGCTGTTACCATCCTGCTGGTGAAGGGTTGGATCTTTTTCATCCTGTTGGCATCCCAGGCAAGCATCAGGCGACAGCAGGCTTATTCTAGCATCTTAGGCAAGCATCAAGCGAATGACTCAAGTGATCCTCCCACCACACCGGCTGAACGACTCGCGTGCGCACACAATCACTTGAGTAACACGACCACAATCACCATTAATGGTGGAGTGGACAATCACGCCATACACGCTAACAGACAACTCGTTACAAGACTCCTGCACTGCTCTGCCCACCTGTGTCCACATGAGGTAGGCGATAACAAGCGACGTGGAGCGCGAGACGCCCTGGCAGCAGTGCACGAGCACGCGCCCTCCGCCTTCTCTCACACCCTCCATGTAATCAAACACGTCATACAGCACACACGTGATGTCCTCTGCTGTGTTGTCCTGTGGGGGAGGAAGAACGGGTGGTGGAGGGAGGGAGGGAGGGAGGGAGGGAGGGAGGGGGAGGCGAGTGGGGGGGCCGAGGCCGATGGCGAGAGAAAGAGACGGGTGCGAGGATGAGGAGACGTTGCCTCCAACACGTCGTACAGCACACATGTGATGTCCTCCGCCGTGTTGTCCTGCAGGGGAGGAAGAGGGGAGGTGGCGGAAGGAGGGAGAGAGAGGTGGAGAGAGTGAGACGAGTGCAAGGATGAGCAGCCGTGACCGCCCTCCCGCACGCCCTCCATGTAGTCAAACACGCCGTACAGCACACATGTGATGTCCTCCGCTGTGTTGTCCTGTGGGGGAGAAAGGGAGGGGAGAGAGTGCAAGGATGAGCAGCCGTGGCCTCTCTCACGCCTTCTATGCAGTCAAACACGTCGTACAGCACAGCACGCATGTTACGTCCACCGCCGTGTTGTCCTGAGGTGAAGGGGAAAGGAACGGGAGAAACGAGTGCAACGGGATGAGAGCGTCGCCTCCCTCACTGCCTCTCAAAACAGCAACTTAACATTCCCGTCACACCTCCCTCACCTGACCCTCACCCCCACCTCATCTCCACCTCACTTCCACCAACCTGCGTACCACTCCCCCTCACCTTCCCCCCACTCCCTCCCTTCCCTCTCCCCTCTTCCCCGCCCCTTTCTCTCACCTGCAGCCAGAGCGTCTTGTACACGATATCCCCGGGGAAGTACTCCGGGCACACGAATCCCACGCAGTTGAGCACGTGCGTCACACCCGCCTCGCGCAGGATCTTGCGGCTTCTTGCCACGTAATCGCTCCCGACGAACACGTGCTCCAGCACGCGGCTGCAGTCCTTCTCGAAGAAGGCGAACTTCTCCTTGCGCGCGCGCACCTCCATCGCCTCCGCGTTGAAATCCCGCTCCGTGCGCGCGCGCAACGCGCCCAGGTCCAGCCGGATTTCCCCCAACCCGAGCCTGGCGCGGCTCAGGCTCGGCGAGCCTTTCCGAACCGCCGGGCCAGCTCCGGACGTGCCCAAACGGCCTGATGCGCCACGTCTGCTGCTGGACGCGCCGGCTTCGCCAGTTTCGCCCGATTTTTCGCTTTCGTCAGTAGGGCTTAATAGAAGCCCGTTCCTGGGTGGACAGATTATGGTAATTCCCATGTCTGAATCGGCTTCCTCTGGAGGTGCTATTAAGTCGGGTCGCGGAGTGACGGGAGGAGGGATCTGCGGCAGCGATAAGCAGAAGTCCCTACCGCTGCTGGTGCCTATCGACGCGGTCCGGCGGATGGAAGGCGGGCTGGTGATTGGCTCGAGGGATATGGGGTCGCGCCGTTCGCCCAGCTCTATATCAGACGGCGGCAGTAGGTCGCCGCTCATTGCGACTGCAGCGGACCGAACGGACGGGGTGTAGTGGTCTTGCCGAGCCTGATGGAGGCTCGGGACTCTCTGAAGGAGGCTCGGAGGCGCGGCACTATCGACGCAAGCTGACAGCTCCATGGCGAGCGCTGGGATAAGAGGTCGATGGGCTGGAAAGGTATGTTCGGTGTGTTCGACGGACTCGATGGGTTAGACGCTCCTGGCAGGCACGAGCGAGCGCATCGCGGAGATAACAAATGACGTGGACAGAATCAGTGTCTGTGTTGATTCAAGCTTTATTCGATTTAAAGACATAAGCTTGTTAGCTCGAATCGTAGCCCAGCTCCGAGTGGTTTTGAAACGTTAGCTAGTGAGTGCAAGCCCCAACTCATTCATGCGGTGCCAATAATGAACGAGAGAGAGCCCACTAAACAGGAGTGAAAGACGAAGGCTAACTAAAATTACTAGGTCAAATGAATGACAAACGTGAAATCAGCGGAAAACTCTTTCCAAGACAACCCAGCCCAAGAGCCTGCCGCCACTGCTTGTCGTGCTCAGCGGAGTCTCTCTCCACTCCAGCAGTAGCGCAGCCACAGTTTCCCCCCGGACTCCTCCTCACACGGAGCATGCAGTGCAGTGCAGTGCAGTGCAGTGCAGTGTGCGCGGAAAACCAAGTCGTTGCGCAAAGCGCATTCTGCTCCGAAACAGCACTGCTCACCCCCCTCCGCAGATTCCTTGCTAGCGTACGCGGAGAGTGGATATCGCCCCAGCTGACCCGATTGGACCAGCGGAAACCGTCTGTGCGGAGGTTGGCTTTTCGGGGGGAGCTGAGTCAAACCCCGCGCGGTCAGGCGCAGCGCAAAGGTTGAGTTTGTCTGGTGCGCGCAGAGACGACGAGGAGGTTGACCAGGACTTGGACCTCCCCGGCCCGATTGAACTCCGCTATAACGTTCCTCACTTCCATGCTGAATGATGGTTTACTTGGGTTCTGAAGGCCTTTCTATTTGTTTTAGAGAGCATCCATAAAGTAGATCACGAGTAGCTATAAATCGGTATCTATGTTTCAGTCCGCATCTTCCACACTTCACAATGACCACTCAATGGCCACAACACTCCTGAGCCGATCAGTTCAGACATGGCGGCAACTGAACACCTCAAACATGCACTATATTATACACGCAGGCTTATTCCAGCGGATGCGCCTAGATTTCCGCACTGAATTTTCCCTCTGTCTTTTTGCACTGAAGAGCTGGCGATCGTCGTGTCTGCTGAAGGATTAATCGCGAGCCTAGGATGGAGAGGCACGCGGGTCAGGCTGGAGACGACATTATCGGAAATAACGGCAATCTCGAAGGGGATGCTACGGCAGCGGAGGAAGATGACGCGTTGTTGGTTAAAGCGCGAACAGACTGCATCTTTTTTCTCGCATCGCCGCTAATGTGCAAGAAGGTGATTAGCTTGAGAGACAGACAAGCTCATGAGGTATCTTAATGTTTCAATTGAAATTTATCTGTCATTGTGCGAGAAATTCTTAATTTCCGTTCCTCTGTGACTATCCGCGCAGGGAGCGACATGCGAGTTTCGCCATTCCGAAGCAGCGAGGCGGAACCCGCGCGACTGCTACTACTGGATGAGTTGGGGGTGCAACAAGGCCGACTGCGCCTTCAGGCATCCGGTACGGATCGGTTCCCGCTTCTCTTTATTGCTTCGCTTCGAGGCCTGCTAATCTTGTTGACTTCGTACAACCATGCTATTCCGCACAAATTGGTATCAGCAACCCCAGCCATTCAATTTGGTATCAGTAAATCCATGGTATTTCCCTCTTCCGCCTCCTTCCCTCTCCCGCATATCCCTGGCAGCCTCTAGGCAGGCCGCCTGGCGCAGCCCCCCCGCCCGCGTTCCCCCTGGCGGAGGAAAAGTCGCGCACGCCCTGCTTCTTCTTCGCCCGGGGCGCGTGCGCCAAGGGGGAACTCTGCCCCTTCCGCCACGAGACCTCCCCCCCTGACGCCATTGCGCCTGCTCCTGCCGCCGCTACAACTGTTGCTGCTGCTGCTAGTCCTGCTTCTGCTGAAGCTACCACTGCTGCTGCTGACCCTCTCTCTGGCCGGACTCCTGGCGCTGCCGCTGCTGCTGGAGTGGAAAGGGAGCTCGGGAGAGGCTCGGATAGAGGCTCGGTTAGAGGTATGGGTAGAGGTACGGGTCGAGTGGCAGAGGAGGAGGCAGGAGCACCTGGGGGGTGGGACGAACAATTTGATGCAGGGACAGGCGGAAGGAGGGCTGAGGAGAGGGGAAGGGTGGGACCGGGTGCAGGTTGGGGTGTCTTTGGTGCTGGGAGTGGATCAGGGCAGACAGGGGAAAGAGGGGTTCCAGGTGGGGGCAGAGATGGTCGACCAATGCTGCCAACAGCTTCAGCGTTTGGAGTAGGGAGGGGGTTTGCGAGGGGTTCTGCAGATGTGGCTTATGAGGAGCAGCAGCAACAACATCCGCACCACCACGACCATCAGCAGCAGCATTATCATCATCAACAGCAGCAGCAGCAGCAGCAGTGGCAGGGGCAGGGACAACAGGAGTGGCAGCAACAGCAGCAGCAGCAACAGCAATGGCAGGAGCAGCAGCGAAATCACCATCATTTCAACCACCAAAACAGGCAGCATCAACAGCAGCAAATTCAGCCAGCCGCCCAGCCCAGTGGTTATGATCGTGCCATTGGTCACGCTCCAGGTCACCCTGGTCAAGCTCCAGGTCAGCAGGGCCACCCGATGACTCAGCACGGGCAAAGGGTGCAGGGGCGCGGGCGAGCAGTGGGGGTGCGGGCGGTGATGGAGGAAGCAGCTGCAGCAGCCGCTGCTGCCGCCACAGCAGCACTAGGGCCAGGCCCTGGGCCAAGGGGTTTGGGTGCGGAATCAGGGAGAAGGGAGGGTGGCGGTAGAGGGCGAGGGGAGGAGGGGAACATTGGGCTCAGAGGGAGATTTGTGGGGGAAAGGTCCGCTCAGCAGCACGTGGCACATGGTGGGGCGAAGGTGCCTGAGTTGCCGCCGTCTCCCATGCCAGGTAAGAATGCCTCACCTGCTTTTCTGGTTCCTTACATGCCTTGATAACTTTTCTGAACACGGATTGTGTGTGTTACATTGAACATTTGGCAAACAAGTGTACGAGGCCGCTTCAACGGATGTTTGCCGGTTCTCTTGTTTGCTTCAATGGATGTTTGCCGGTTCTCTTGTTTGCTTCAACGGATGTTTGCCGGTTCTCTTGTTTGCTTCAACGGATGTTTGCCGGTTCTCTTGTTTGCTTGCCCGTTTCGTCTCAGGCGTGCTGGCAGCAACCGGCGGCTCTGCTGTAGCTGCAGCAGCAGGAGGAGCGGGAGCAGGGAGAGGAGGAACTCGAGCAGGCGCAGGCAGAGTAGCCAGTGATACCGCAGCACCCAACAGCATCGCCTCGCCAGCAACGAGCCTTCCCCTGAAAGGACGGAGGCTGGTGGTGGCCGTGGGGAGCAGCTCTGACAGTGCTGCTGGGAGAGTCATTGCAACCACTGCTCGCGCTCTGCCTCTCCAGCAGGAGCAAGGGCAGCAACAGCAGCTTCAGTTCCAGCAGCAGCAGCAGCAGCAGCAGCAGATACAGCAGCAAGGGCAGGTCCAGGCGAGGGCGGTGGGGCAGGGATTGGTAATCCGTGCGCGAGTGGATGGCGCCTCAGCGTCCTCTCAACGTATGGTGCAGGCGCCTTCCCTCCCTTCTTCCCAATCTCATGTCTCTCGGGCAGCTGATATTCGCCAGTCTGTGAAGGCTACCTCGTCCCTCCCTGAATTCCCACCAGGGAGGAGGGACCTGAAGCGGGTCCGGTCCGAGCCGGAGGTTGCTCCGGAGAGTGTAGTTCGGGATCTAGGTTCGGGGCGTGCGAGGGTTCAGTCAGGGCAGGAGAAAACGACCAGGCAGGGGCAGGCTGTGGTAGGCCGGTTGCAAGGCAGACTGGCCGAGCCTGTTAGAGGTTTGGAAGGTTCGGGAGTCAGTGGTGGAGGTTCGGCAGGGGATGGTAGATTGTCTGTGAAGAGGCGCTTGGGTGCTGCTGCTGGTGGTACTAGTGCTAGCACAGTGACGACCACTGGTGGTGCTGATGCTCGCCCTGCTGCAGTGGGCGCTGGGGCTGCTGCTGGTGCTGGTGCTGGTGGTGTTCGTCCGGGCACTGCTGTTGGTGCTCATGCTCGTGCTGGCTCATTGTCTCAAGCCAACGGGCTTGGCGACGTCAGGGAAGAAAACGGTGCTGTGAACAGTGCAGGCGTGACAGGTGTCAAGAACCGACTGGCTGCCAGGCTGTCAGGACCTGTGGGGAAGGCGAATGTAGGGACGGCAGGTGGCTTTGATGGTACCAGGGTTGGTGCCGTTGCTGCTACCACTGCTCCCCCTGCTGCTGCTACTGCTCCCGCCGCTGCTGCTGCTGCTGCCACCCCTGCTGCTGCTGTTGTGAAGGTGGGGGGAGCAGCAGGAGCAGGAGGAGGGGGGAAAGGCTGGTTCCGACCCAGAAGCCTGGCAGAGATACTGGCGGAGAAGAGGAAAGCCCAGGGGGCTGGTGCAGGCCCATCAGCATCAACAGCATCAGCATCAGCAATGTCAGCACCATCGCCATCACCTGGAGCAGTGGGCACCAGCAGGGGTGCAGGAGTAGCAGCAAGAGAGCCTGCCAGTGCGACTCAATCAAGACTCAAGCCGCAGCTCATTAGGGTTGCGGGTGCGTCTGCTGCTAGGAGTGCTGGCGAGAGGGCTCAGGCAACAGCAACGCAGAGTCCTGTGAATGGTAGTCGTGAAGCGGCTAGTGCGCCAGCTGGCAAGGCAACCATTGCGACAGCTGGCAAGGCAGCTCCTGTGAGAGCTGGCGGAGCAGGTGGGCTGTTCTCGGGCCCTCGGCCGCTCTCAGAGCTTCTGAAGCGCAAGCGAGCGAGCGACGAGGGAGGTGGGGGTGATGGTGGGGTCGCTGGTAATGGGGCACAGCAGGAGAAGGCTGCTGGTGAGAGACAGAGGAGAGTGGCGCGAGTGGATGTGACAGGTGGGCAGGGTGAAGGGAATGTGGGTAAGACCAGGAGGCTGACGAGGGTGCTGAGTGGGCGTGGTGGCGGGGAAGTTGGGACGAAAGCGGCACGCATGGGGGAAGGCACTGGAGCAGAAGTGTCAGGCACTGGAGCAGAAGCAGCAGGCGGAGAAGCAACAGCAGCAGGCACAGAGGCTGCAGGCTCTGAAAATGAGGATGTGGAGAAGGCTGTTGGCCCCGTTGCGGCCACTGCTCCCGTTTCTGCTCCTGCTGCAGCTGTTGTGGAGGAGGAGAAGGTTGGACACGCGCCTGATGCTACACTGGCTGATGATGCTGACGATGGTATTATCCTGGTTCGCAGTGGTAGCTCTCAGTCTAAGGGGGAAAGAGCTGAAGGAGAGGTTGACTTGGGAGATGAGGAGTTGGTCGACGAAGAGGATGAGGATTACGATTTGGAAGGAAAGCTTGGCGATTTATGGTGAAGGAAGACACAGGCTACAAGCTATGTTTTCTCAACAATCTTGGGCTGCAACATGTGCTGAAAAAATTATGTCCATCCATGTGTAAAAAATGGACGCACCTTCATAGGCCTGTTTGTAGTGTATTCGGATCTGCTTATACGCAGAAGCAGGTGTTGACGGCGTGGTGAGCGTGGGGCAGAAGCAATCTGCGTGGATTCGCCCTCGACACGTCAACTTTTGTCTCAATCCACGCATGGGCGAAGCGGAACCACGTCACACGGATTCTCGTTGGGCTTCGGGCTTCGAAGTTGCGATGATGTTACCCTGCAACTCTTCCGCAAGCAATCTCCGCCTGATGGCCGTACTAGAAAATGACGGTGGGCGACCGGAAATATTCTTCGCCCAGATTACGGTGTTACTTTTGATGGGCAGACTGGGGTCACCGTGCGGTTTCATGATGTGCTGCCATCAGATCAGAGAGATTTGGCAGCGGTTCGCAGAGCGATGCGACTGAAAGGATAGGCTGGCTGGGACCAAGGTTTTCACAGGGCGTCCTGCCAAAGCTGAAAAGGACCGCCGGGATGATAACACGTGGCGGGAAAGCTTGGCAATTGACCCCATCCAGCCGTCCGCACGTCCTTTTCGGCTCGGTACGCCCTGCATTCTGCACCGTCTTTTTCACCTCTCATACCTGGCCCGGCTTCGCCCCTGATGGATGCAAGATTGTTGGTTACGTTGCTGTCTCGACAACCTGGAGGAGACTTGTTTGGCGGCTGAAGCTCGAAAATCTCGAGGTCTTTACGAGACGATCCCGAGAATGGAGGGGATAAGGCTGTGCAGGGCATCGCGTTTCACAAATGTGCTTGAAGCGAAGGGAACGAAGATCCACGGTTGGAGTTAAGTAGCAGAGACCAAAGCAGCCTGTTCTGCTGCTACGTGCTGCTGATGTTTGGAGGAATTTTCTTTCCACAGCCGACATCGTCGGTTCCTCTCAGCAGTGCAGAGGCATCATCCATCATGCAACTTCATTGTGCACACGCGTGGAATTATGGCTATGATGTTCCAGCGCCATGAGCGGTTCTAAGGCCAGCTTCCCCTCCTCGGTGCAGCTTTCCGCCTCTGTTGAAGGTCATTTTTCAACCGTCATGGTTCATGCGGAATGCTTCTAGACTTCTAGAGGTATTATGATCCCGGAAGAAGCTAGAGGAACATCGCTGAATCTCATATCCATGTCTGGACATGGCTATAGCGCCTCCCGGTACCAAGGGCTCGGCGCCGAGAGTCGTTCTTAGAGCATCCAATAGTGTGACGACGTTAAGTGATAGTACCGAAAGTGGGTTCTCGCTAAGCACCGCTAGGGAAAATTATATACGAGGGACTACTAGGCTCTCCTCCTCGGGTTGTAGGGCTGCTACGGAAAGCTTAGCTGCGTCGGTCAACGAGCGTTCTTGGAAGGCCGTGTTGGAAGCTGCGCCGCGGAACGGATTGCTGCCAAGAAAACAGCTAATCGCGGGTGATGCTTCTGGCTGCGACGGCGACATGGAAGTTTCGGATCGCGCGTCCAAATTGACTGCGGAAAACGGCGAAATAGCTCCGCAAATGTCCCGTCCAACTGAGCCTTGTTCGCAGGCTGAGGCTCGGGACGACGATGGAGCCGCTCTTAGTGGAAGTCCGCCTTTGACTCATCGCCTGAGCGAGAGTGCGCGTTGGGAGACTCCTGGGGAAGAAGGAGCAGCAGCAGAGGCACGGAGCGGAGGTATCATCGAGGCTACAGGGGACGGGAAGCAGCGAGAAGAGGAGTCTGTTGTCTCGGACTTGATGGATGCACCCGAGGTTGTGTCCGTGTCAGAGGCAGCAGAGAAATCAATTAACGGAGAAAACGGAGAGAACGGAGAGCAAGCAGCGACATCAGAAACCGTCGGAGCAGAGTGTGATAGAGACGTTTCCGGAACAGCAGAAACTCAGTCCTTGCACTCCGATTCGGAGCTCGCGTTTAAGAAGATGTCTCTTGATCCCAACGCCGCTGAATTCACCCCGTCCTTCGCGCCTTCCCCATCAGCAGTCGCTGCGACACCTTATTTACCTGACTACACCCCTCTCAGCTCCACTGCCGCTGCGGATGTCTCTGCGGTCACCGCTGGTGCCGCCGCTTCATCCGCTTCGTTTGTGGTTCCTCCTCTCATTCGTTCCCTCGTTACCGGCAGCTCGATTCCTGGCTTGAATCTTAGCCGTCCATTGCCGGCAATTTCCCAGGTGGTTCCTATAGGCCCTCGGAGGTCCTCCCCCGTGCCTCCACGTGGCAACAGTTGGTGGGAGCGGGGTTGGAGTGGAAGGGGGGAGAGGAATATCCGTGGAAGGCAGGGTGGAGGCAGCAGGAGCAGCAGCTCTGGGAGCAGCAAGCAGGGGAGCATGGAGGACGTGAAATTTTTCACTGTAAATGCATCATGCGTTTATTCCGACTCACATTTTTTGGGTGGTGATGCTTCTCGTTCATCTTCCGCGGCTGCTGCTGGTGCTGCTGTTACTGACCCCTCTGGTTATGGTGCTTCTTCTGACGCTGCTGCTGCCGGTACTGCGTTCGCGGCTTCCTTGCAGCACGCCTTTCCTGCTACTGCACCATACAACGTGACTGCTATGTACAGCGCTCCTTACAGTCACACTATACAGTATCATCCCGCTCCTTTTCAGCAGCAGCAGCAGCAGCAGCAGCAGCAGCAGCAGGAGGAAGGGGCTCCTTCTGCATACTTCATACATCCACAGGAGCCATTGCAGTCACAGCAAGCACCGCTATACTCACAACCGTTTGTGCATACTAACCCTCTCTTACATGTACAGTCACAGGCACCATTGCCTGCACACGTGGGTTTCAGGGCTCCTTATATGGGGTATGAAATGGGGGAAAGTTTGGTGCCTCCTCCTCCTCCCACGCCCCCCACACCCTTGGCTACAGCAGACGACAGAGTGTCCCGGGCGATCATGCTCTCTCTGTTGCCGCCACCTGAACAACTACCTGACGCCGTTCTGGCGCAAGAGATAGAGAGAACGTGGGGTCCTTTGAGGTGAGCTGGATTGGGTTGTTCGAGAATAAGCGCTCAGCTTGAGCGCCGTGCACTCTCCTATCCGTTCTCTCCTTCACCACGTTATCATGCATCACTTCATCATTCCTTGCGAAGGTGCTCGTTTGAGGTTTTCTTGTTTTCTCAGCTTGCGAAGCGGGACATCCAGCAGCAGCACTGGCTGCAACAGCAGCAGTAGCGTCTGGCACCCGGTTCACCCCGTGCGTCCCTCTGTGTTTCCCTGCACCACCCTCTGCCCTGCCCCATCCGCTCTCCTCTCCTGTTTCCAGGTTCCTCGACTTGTCCCGCCGCTGGGATGGCGTGGCTACGGCACATTTTTACGACCTGCGCCATGCCAAGGCAGCTCTGAGGGACGTGCAGCAGCAGCACTGGCTGCAGCAGCAGCGCACACACCACCGCATCCTGCTCCGCCTGCGCCAGATCCACACCAGGGAACCCCCTGAGAAGATCATCCAGGACCCCTACCGGCCCCTGCCGAACGAGCCTGTGCCGCTGAAAGGGCTGGGGTTGGTTGCTGGGTGGGTGGTGTGGGCTCAAGCGGTGGATCCTGATGGGGAGGGCGGGGCGTGGGCGGGAGAGGGGAAGGGTGCCGGGCTTGGGAGGGGGTTTGGAGGAGGTGGGGCGGATGGTGGAGGCGGTGAAGGGAGGTTCGGTGCGGTGCAGAGGCGTCACCAGCAACAGAAGTCGCAGGGGCCTCAGCAGCACCAGCAGCAGCAGCAGCAGCAGTTAAGGCAGCAGCTTCAGCGCAGGCAAGGAGGACTATGGCAGGGGGCGAATGAGCAGCAGGGAGGGGCGTGGGACGGTGGTAACGGGTGCGTGGTGGTGCGGAACGTTGAGCCCTCTGTGTCTACGGACTCACTGCGTGCTCTCTTTGCAACATGCGGTACGTGCTGGGGTTCACAAAGGTTTCTTGAGTTTTGCACTGATTGGATTGGATTTCCTCTAGGATCTGGATCACGCATCCGCTTCGTCCACGTTCTTTGGGTCTCCTCAGTCATGCGTGAATCGCTCTGTTCCTTACCATCACATCCGCTGTTCCTCGTGCTTCCTCCCACTCTCTCTTTGTTTTCTTTGCGTTGCAGGAGACGTTAAGGAGGTCAGAGCAGTTCTTTCCCAGAAGCTTCATCGCCTTGTGGAGTTTTTTGACATCCGGGTAGCAGCTCATGCGGTGCAGAAGCTGACCGGAACAGAGCTGGCGGGCAGGCGGATAAAGATCGAGTTTGCACGCCAAGGAGTCATGAAAGATGCAGTTGGAACGGCAGGAGGATCGAGAGCGGTAGGAGCAGTGGGATCAAGAGGTGTGGATGCATGGCAGGGGCGTGGGCGCACGGAATGGTCTTCACGTGGGAAAGGAAGGAGCCCCGCATTCGGTGCTCTCACCCACAGCGGGAGTGACACCAGGGGCAGCAGCAGGAGTGGTGGCGGTAGGGGTGACAGCATGAGCGGCAGCATAGGCGGCAGCAGAGGCGGCAGCAGCTCATCGAGTCAGGCGTCTTTGAACACTCCCTCATGCGGATCGGACCCGCCGTCTCACACATCGACTGCTAGCAGCAGCTCGTCGCACTCCCCCGTGCACACTCCCACCCAGCCTAGCCCTGATTCTCCGCGTATTACAGACATACCAGGCTCGCACCGGCATGATTCAGCCGCGCCCCAGCATGAGTCACAGCCTCCGGAAGGGGCCATCCCTGCTACTGAATCCAGTTTCACTGCTGCTGCTCGTGCTGCTTCCGAATGCGGTGGTTCTCCAGAAGCTCCCCGGTGTGACAGCCCTGACTTGAGTAGCCCAGGGGTGGAGAGCAGGGGTGGCAGGGGGGAGATGGGTGCAGATGGGTTGCTGCCATCAGGATCCACGCCTGGTCCAGACGGCACCAGGGGGGAATCAGCAAGAGAGACGGATGGAGTAGCCCCCGTAGAGGAGCAGGTTACAGGCGACTGTGCGAAGGTGTTAAAGGAAGGAGAGAATGTATTGAGGGAAGGTGAGAAGGTATTAAAGGAAGCAGAGAAGGTATTAAAGGAAATGCTAGGGGGTAGAGCCGAGGAAGTTTCTGATGAAGCTTCTGGAGGATGTTTTGAAGCCGAGTTAGCAGCAGGTGCTGATGTGGAAGGGGGAGAGGAGGAGGGAAAGGGGGTAGAGGAGGAAAGAAAAGTGGCAGAGAATGCAGTGGTGAAGGAGGGCTGTTCAGCAGGACAGCGAGAGGGAGAGAATGGAGGGGAGAGTGGAGGGGAGAGCGCCAGGTCAAGAGGTGGCGGGCAGGCTGATGAGTCAGCATCGCTGACCCAAGAAGAGCTGGCCCCTCTCTCATCTCCTGGCGAAGAATGCACGTCAGGGGACGGCAACCCAGACAACACTACTCCAGCTACTAGTGCACCCATCGCTACTGCCAGTGCACCCATCACTACCGCACCCGACACCAGTGCACCCATCACCAGTGCACCCATCACCACCGCACCCATCACTACCGCACTTAACACCAGCACGCCCATGAGCAGCGCCACAGCGAGCGCCCAGAGCTCGCCAGACACGTGGAGGTCAGATACGAGTGGCAGTTGCACTGGTAGCAGCGGTGGCGGTGGCAGCAGCAGCGCCAGCAGCAGCGCCAGCAGCCGTGGCAGCAGCCTCCCTCCCGGCTGGCACTGGCAAGCCTCCTCTGTGACCCCTCTGCCTCTCGCGCCCCTGCACACGACACCGGATTCTGCCCTCTCGCATGCATACAGGCAGCAAGGGCATGGCAGTGGCAGCACTGGCGACATTGGGTACAACTATTCTCACCATCCCCAGGCACATTTCTCCACTGCTGATCCTACAGCCACACCCGCACCTGCTTCAGCATCTACACCAGTAGTCACACCAGCAGCCACCTGGTTCCGCCCTCCATTCCCACCCCCCCCTACCTTCGTCCAACCACCCTTCGCTCAGCCGTTGGTTGAACCACGTCTGGCCGCGCCTCTTCAGAACCTGAGCCCGCAGGCCACACAGGCCTGGGGGGGTCAGCACGAGTGGCAGCACGTGCAAGGAGCCCACGAGGGGCGGTATATGCATGAGGGGCAGCAGCAGCAGCAACAGTACCAACACCACCAGCAGCAGTATGAACAGCAGTATCAACAGCAGTATCAGCAGAAAAATCAGCAGCAGCAGCAGCAGTATGCCGGGCCATACGAGCCTCCTCACGCCCCTGTCTCGGTGCCTCTGCTGCAGCATCCCCACACTGCTTACCCACACGCTCACTCCCACCTCATGCCCCTCATGCCCCACGCCCTGCCCTCCGCACCTCACACACACAGCCACGGCCCTCCCCAGTATGCCTACCACTTTGCCCCAGGCATGCCGTATCTCCCACCTGCTGGGGCTGCATCCTCTGCTTATCTCCCCTACCCTCCTCCACTTCCACTGCCCTTCCCTTCTGACCATGCCGCGCATTCTCCCCTTGTACCTCATCTGCCGCCTCCTCCTCCTCCTCCTCCCCCTCCTTCGTCTGCTCCCAGTCATCTTTCCCTGGCTGCAATATCTGCTGGGGGGGCGTCTCCTGCTGTTTCATTCCCCACGTCTCTCTCCTCCTCTCCCCGATTCCCTGCCACCCCCACTGCAAGTGCCTCCCATGCTTCTGCCGCTGCAGCTGCTTCTGCCCCTGCGGTTGCCAACCCTGCTGGCCCGCCTACCCCCACTGCCTCTACTGGGTTTGCTATGTACGGCCATGCTACACCAAGACCCATGGGCGTGGGTTTTCCTCCAATAGGAATCGTCGGGGCGGCAGCTGGAATGTTTCCATCTGCCCGTCCCGGGCAGATGATGATGCATTGGAACATGCCCATGGCGCAAGGGAGGGGGGGAACGGGGGGAGGGGGGGGAAGGGGAGAACACGGAGGCATGGGCGGAATGTGGATGGGGGGAGGAGCAGGGAGGGGAGAAGCGATGGGGGGGAATGCAAGGCAGGGTTGGGTGGAGGATTGGGGTGCCTCAGGAATGGGTGGGCACCAACAGTACCGACATACCCATTCACATGCACACTCGCCTGCCCATGCCCATGCCCATGCCCATGCCCACGGTCGTTCACATGCCCATGGGCGTGTGCATGGGCATGGTCATGGGGAGGGGCAGCGGGCGATGGGGGGAGACGAAGATGACATGGCAGAGGTAGGAAACTGCTGTAGCTCATGATGATTGTGAGAATGACCATAACGACGACTAGCCTAGCTGTTGACGACTAGCCTAGCTGTTGACGACTAGCCTAGCTGTTGTCGTCCCATTTGCCTTGCTGTTGGTCTCCTTGTACCTCCTTCGCTCATTCTGTCCCCTGTCCCTCCTTCCTTGCCCTTCTTTCCTGACTCCTCTCCTCTTCCCACCTCTTCTCTTTCCCCCTCCGTCTCGTGCCCAGTTCGCGTTTGTGGAGGAGGCAGCAGCAGCGGCGGCCAGGAGCGAGGCCGCCCAGTTGGCTGCCACGTCAGCAGCAGGCAGGTGGCACCAGTATGGAAGGACACGTGGCACTCGTCCAACCGCTGCATCTGCAGAGGAGGGGGATAGCTCAGGCGTGGAGAAGGTGGGCAGGAGGGCAGAGGCGCCTCGCCCTCTGGCATGCTTGACAGATCTCGTCCAGACTGGGTTGACTGGGTTGACTGGGTTGACTGACTCCACAGGTTTGACTGCCTCACGGGATTATGGGGGTGTTGTTGGGGGCTCAGGGAGGGTGGTGGTGCCGCATGTGAGTGTCACGCGTGCAGAGTGCAGTGGTGTGGCGATGGGGAAAGGGGAGAAGGCAATAGGAGAAGAGGAAGATACAACGGAAAAGGAAGAAGAGGTGAAGGGAGGAGGTGCAAATGACGCCGGAGAGGAGGGTGCTCAGGTGGGGGTTCAGGTGGGAAGTCAGGTGGGCGAGGGGGCGGCGAGGGGGCGGCGGGACGGCACGAGGACGACGGTGATGGTGCGCAACATTCCCAACCGCTACAACCAGGCCATGCTGCTCGCGCTGCTGGACGCCCACTGCCTGCACTGCAACTCCCAGCCCGCCTGTCGGCCCTGGGGTGGAGGGCACGCGGTGGGAGGAGGTGGAGCACGAGGCAGGAGTGGTGCTCGTGTTGATGGCTGTGGTGCAGGTGGTGATGATGGTGGTGATGGTGGTGAATCTGCTGCTGCTGCTGCTGGTTGTACCGATGGAGATGGGAGCAATGGCAGTGATGCGGGCAGTGACAGTGGCAGCAGTGGTGGCAGTGGGGGGAGTGGGGAGGAGGAGGAGCACTGGGAGCCGCTCTCTGCTTATGACTTTGTCTACCTTCCCATCGACTTTAAGTGAGTGATCCTTCCAATCGATTTCGTTGATTATGCTCATGCTTGTACTCGTGTGCGTGCTTTCCATGTGTATCCACCCATTTATTCCTCCGCTCCCACTCCTCACTGCTCATGACCGCTCTGCACTGCTTTCAGGAACCGGTGCAACCTGGGGTACGCGTTTGTGAATCTGACAACGGTGACGGCGGCGCTGCGGCTGTTCCGTGCCTTCCACCTGCAGCCGTGGGAGGCCTTCAACTCGCGCAAGGTCTGCCGCATCTCCTACGCGCGCGTGCAGGTGCGTTGTGCTCTGCACATGGTGGGGTGAGGTCAATATGTATATGGCTGCTCTTGCCAGTGTCTAGCCATGGCTGCGTTGCCTTTGAGATTCACGTGCCAAGCCACTTTGGTATTTGCTTGTCTTGCTGACCATGGCATTCACATTCAATTTGTTCCACATGCAGGGTCGCGCGGCGCTGGAAGAACATTTCCGCAACTCGCGCTTTGCGTGCGACACGGAGGAGTTTCTCCCGCTCGTCTTCTCCCCGCCTCGCAACGGCATCTCCTGCCCTCCCCCGGTGCTTGCCGCCGGTCACATGGCAGGCCAGCAGGTAACCCTCACCAGTGGTAACCACCACCTCGCGCTCACCTCTGACCCTAGGTCCCCCAGGCGCGACGTTTTGAACCCGGGGCTTTTGCCAGGCATGGGGTTGATGCGTTCAACGGCGCCAAGCTCGGTTGTATCATCCAGGAATAGCTCTAGTGTTCCTTCCAGAACTGCCTCGGTTGTGCCTTCTAGGATTAGCTCGTCTGTGTCTTCCGGGGCTGCCTGAGGTCAGATACGTAGAATGTTTCTATGGACTTGGTGTAGTGTAGGATGCAAGCACGCCTTTGTCATTCTTCCTTCAGGATTCAGAAGGAATATTTATGTAAACGCCATAGTACATCCAGCTTGTCTATGTAGAAACAGCAGCACGCATTCAAACTTTATCAGGGGGGCTTTTGTTGGCCAGCTGTGCGATTTCCAACCAGCTCGTCTGCTGCATACAGCTGGCATTAGGAATACGTCGGCCAACATGGGACCACTGATAACTTCTTGGCATTCCTGAAGGCATCATATTTACAATTTTCTCCTGTCTCACTCGCCGGTCAGGGTCGCGCCTGACTGTAACCCGAGCGGGGGCCAAACCTTGGGATTGTCGCACACCTGCGAGACCCTCGGCCTGCCACATCGATGACTCGTCCGCTCCAAGCTGAGAGTCCGCAGCGGAACCTTTCCGGAAGGAATGGTGACGTGGCGGTTAGAGAGGGGGGCACCGCGTGAGGCGGGAAACCGAGCAGCGAAAACCCCCCGCTCCCAGCGGTGGAGGGATAGCGAGGCTGAGTGCGCGGCCGGGGTTTCCCTCGCAGGCACGGGCCACGAGACCATTCACCACCCTTTTTCTCTCCGTGCGTCCTTTTTTGCCGTCGTCCTTTCTCATTGGCCGTAATAGTTGTTTTTTACCTTCGTCCTCCTTCTGTGGCGTTGCTAAAGGATCCACTCCCGCGACAATATTCTCATTTCCGCCAGTTTGTCGTCACCAGCCACGAGTCGGCTCATCATGGCTGGCTTTATCATGGTTGCGTTTCCCTTTCATGATGCACCGCGTACAGCAGTGCGAGTGCTCAGTAGTCCTGCAGTTGCCGCGATTTGCACGCGTGCAGCGCACGACACGGTGTGAAGGTCGCGTCGTAGAGCCTGCTTAGCGTCCGCTCCGCGCCCAATGCTCGACTGCAGCGCAGCATCGCGTTCCCTTTCCCTCCTCGTCTCCTCTGCCCGCGCGCGTATCGCGCTCAACCGCGCGTCCATGTACGAGTATCTTCGCTTCGTACACGAGAAATTTGCAGAGTGTCGAGCAATTGCAGACTGAGGGGGTTCGCAGCGGACGGTTGACCGGCAGAGACTTGCATTTAGGGGAGAATTTAAGTTCGAGACGGAGTGCGCGGCGAAGGGGGACACGATGACACAGCAGGCATGCACGCGGGACAAGGATGTGGGGCAAGGACGTGGGGGGAGGACGCGGGGGGAGGACGCGGGGGGAGGACGCGGGGGGAGGACGCGGGGGGAGGACGCGGGGGGAGGACCTGGGGGGAGGACGCGCGGGGAGGACGTGCGGGGAGGACGTGGGGGGAGGACGCTTTCCATTATCGTTCAGGACGTGGAAAGTAACGAGGACAATAACTACATGGGACGTAAAGGATCATGTGTAGCAGCTGAGAAACGCTTGTGGCCAAGTAGCGGAAGTTCTGGCGGGCAGGTGAAGAGGGGGGGTAGTCAAGAAGATACGGAGGGGTATGGTGGAGGCATTTACCTGTGGACTCCATTGGGTGTGGGAAGGGAGACCAGGGCATGGGGGAGAAGAAGGTAAGACTGTTCAGAGGGGGAAGGTAGGAGGTACTCAGAGGGACCCCTGCTTACTACCGGGTGTGGTTACCGGGTCGTGGTTACTAGCCGCAATTGCAAGAAAACCGTTTCTAAGAAGCAGCTGTTATTAGATTTTGTCTCACGGTTGTTGAGTGTCAGTCGCTGTTCATATGAATTTTGCCGCTCTTCTCTTTTCCCCACTTAGTCTCCTTCCCCCATTACTATGTGCACTCTCTCCTGCATCAATACTTGCAGCAACAGCGGTTTTGCAGTGCTGGTGTCGACGCAGTCACGCAGGATGAGTTGGTTGATGTGTTATGGTGAGTGTCATATCGTTAACATTCTCACTCGTTTGGGCAAGATGCACATGGTGTGGACTTGGGTCAACAACACGCTAGTTGCAGCACGAGCAGGTGTGCTTGTGAAGCCACGCACTTCCGTCTGCTGAGGTGTTCATAGAGGCTGTCTGTGCTCACGATGTTGTGGGGAAGTGGCCTGAATGCATGTTGGTTCCTATTTGGTGTGCTGCAGCTGTTCTGACGGCAGACACTCTGCCAAAGCTTCTGCATTCTGAACGCGTTTTTACACTTGTGAAGCACCAGGACAGTGTTGTGTGTTTGCTAGTAGAGCAGATGGCATGTATGTGACTTGGCAGCAGTGAATGTATTGTGGTTGAGCAAATCAATGCCATGTGTGCCACTTCTAGTGGATATGTATTGAATGACTACTACATGGGGAAACTTGTGAATGCTGTTTCTATCAGAAATCCTTCTCACAATATCCTCGCTCTTGTGTGGGAAAAACTTGACGGACGGCAATTTGCATTTGCCAGGGCTGTTCTGTTCAATCAGGTTCTAGACGTCAATGGTGCTTTTGAGCATCCTGATCAACTGCAGTATTGGATGGAAAGAAGGATCTCGAAAACTCCTTGGAATGAATCACCACTGACATGCATCCACGTGTTCATTACAAGTTCTGCTACGGTACACCGTCAAATGCCGTCGAACCGTCAGTCAGACTTTATGACCAATATCCAGGAATACAGGTTCGCGCACCAACCAATGTGCTCAGGCGAGGGTAAAGTGCCTATTGAACCTTGAGTGTATGCCACGTGGAAGATAACGTGGGGCTCACAGCTACGAGCCTCACGGAACTGGCTCAAACCGTTGGTTCAGCTTTTTATCCACGGGTCACAATGCGGCCAACTTCATTGTTACTCAGATTATGCCTGAAACGGTTTGCAAACGTAATCAACCAGCAATTTTTCAGTACAGTAACTAAAAATACTGTTTCAACTAGTTATTAGCACAATCCTGAAACAATGTCGCCACCAGCAGCTCCGCAAATACCCGACAAAAAAGGAAACATACTAAAACGCTTGGATAACAAGGACGGAATTCGGAAATATTAACCCTAAATACGGGAAGTCGTCAAGTATTTATGATTATCTGCTTGAATAAACGACACCGCCCAACGGAGCCTGCTACCCGCGGGCAATAAAAATAACCCTCCTGCTAAAAGGAATCCAGTCAGGATGGCATTAATCTTAAACACCTTGTCGCATGATGTTTAGAATTGATGCCATCCGAGGGGGTTTTAATTTTCTTTCGTACGAGGTCAAGAGGTCCACGGTCGACGGAGGGATAATGGTGCCATCAACCCTAATCCGTTGATTTATCCCGAGTCTGCATTCTTTTTCCCAATGGGTTTTTTTTTTTTTATCTTTGCGCAATTCGCGCTTGATGCAATTTTTAATGGGTTAAGTATTCAATGTTTTTTCTGTTTATTCTTAGGTAGCACCTCGACACATTTGTGCACATTTGAGTTCGGTAATTGCGTTTTGTTTCTGTTACATCTCGGCGATGTTATTAGCATGAAAAGTGTGATTGAAAAAAGAGCGCCAATCAGCGAGGATAAATTGAGGTTGAGTACCGATGCAAAACGTTTCTGGCATAATTTGAGTATCAATGAAGTTGGCCGGATCACAATGCTTGATCTACCAGGCCATTTAATCCAACGAGCCTGCGAGATTTTCTCCAAGCCGCACCTTAGATGTGAACAGCGGTGGTGACATGGCAACTGCGACTCCATGAAGTGTATTTCGGCATCTTCCACGGCTCAGATTCGTGGAAGGAATCGATGGCGTCCATTGCAGGACACGGCGGAGGCCCACATCCATCCATCCATTGCCCATCCAACATCTGATGGATCATGGCATGTGGATGCGAGGAGCCACACCGCACCACGCGTTCTCCGCGTATCCACCCACCAACCAGCCAAGCCCAAGGCAAGGACAGCGCAGCGTCACATCAGCGGCCAAGGCACGAGTGGAGGCACAGTGGAAGGCAGGCCCACCCTCCCCCCAGGGTGCCCACTGCCCAGCCCGCCCGCACCTGCCTTCCTTCTTGGTTATCTCTGGAAATAAGCGCCAATATAGAAGCCATTGCGTTTGCCAAGAATTGCACAAGAGTATACTTGCTTCTATCATCCCTTCACACAAAGACCCATTTTGCTCTCCGTCGACTCCTCGCGTTAGGATCTTGTCTGCGGTTCTCCGGCTCGTACTCGCCACCACGTGTTGGGTTCTTAAATTTTGAAACCGATAAACGATTAAACTTGTCAGATACGATATCGCTGAAGGCTCTCTACCATGGCGTGCCATCTTCAGCGACCTTTTCTCTTCGGAGCTCATGAATCGTGCCGTTTCTCCACCCGTTCTCCAGTCAATCGCTCTTTCAAACCAGCGGCGCGTAGGTCCTCGTCTCGCCAGCCGTTCGTAACCATTCGCAGCCAAGGCGATGCGCATTGCAACTCAGCAGCCAATGATTATCTGCCAGCAGAGCGCGCAATCCCTCTCATCCGTTCCACGTCGGCAACCCCGGCCGCATCGGGCCCACAACGAGAGCAGCTGGGACTATACGGGGACGCGAAACGCGTAGCAGGTGCAACCCAGGGAAGTGTTAACTGGGCTCGATTGCGCAACCAAATCGGCGTGACCTCCGTGAGCGCAGCATCCGTTTCTTCCGCGCATAGGCGGAAGGAGGTGCGCGGATTCGTGGAGGAAGACGCGTCGCAGTGCGGGACCGGCGGAGACCAGAGCGATGCGGAGTCGAAGCGCGCGGAGCTCGAGGCAGGATGGCAGAGTGGTTCCGAGGGATCAATGCCGCCAATGGCGGCGCCAGATGCGGCGCCAGGCGCGGCGAAAAGCTGTTCTCCCAGCGACGAGTTCGCGTGCACGATTGCCGGATGCACCCACGTCCACAGCAACGTAGGCTCCATGCGGAGGCTAGGAAACCTCTCAGAAACCTCCTTCCGAGCAGCTCCGCCGGCGGAATCCCGGCCTGTGCAGAGCGGTACCAAGGGGTTTAACCTGGGTCAATTTCTGTCGCAGCTGCTGCCGTACGTGGTGGTGGCGACGGCGGTGTCGGCGCTGACGTGGCCGGCGACGTTCGCGTGGTTCAGCAAGCAGTACTACGCGCCCGCACTGGGCGGCATCATGCTCTCCATCGGCGTGCAGCTCTCCGTCGAGGACTTCAAGGCCGCCATTGAAAAGTAAGGCGCGAATTGATTGGATTTGAATGGCTGACCACCTCTTTCCATGCTGCAATGTGCTTCTCCCATTCCGCACTCCGCTGCAATAGAATGAGATCAAATGCCTCCTCATCTGGCTCCGTCAGCTGTCTCCCATTCCCGCTCTTCCAACTGTCTCCACTCTGGCTGTCCAGCGCTTTTAGCACCGTTGCTCACTGCTTTCCGCCCCACTCCTCCCCTCCTCCCCGCCAGGCCCGTCCCCGTCCTCCTGGGCCTCCTAGTGCAGTATGCAGTCAAGCCGCTCATCGCGGCCGCCATAGCCGCCTCCTTCCGCCTGCCGCCCGCGTTCGCCGCGGGCTTCCTCCTCACCGCCAGCGTCTCCGGCGCGCAGCTCTCCAGCTACGCGTCCTACCTGGCAAAGGCTGACGTGGCGCTCTGCATCGTTCTCACCAGCCTCAGCACCTTCGCCTCCGTGGCACTCACGCCCATCCTCACCTCGCTCCTGATTGGCTCAGCCGTCCCGGTCGACCTCCTAGCCATGGCCAAATCAATCCTGCAAGTCGTCATCCTCCCGGTCTCCCTCGGCCTCATCCTGAACACCTACGCACGGAAATTCGTCGATCAAATCCGACCAATCATGCCGCTGCTAGCCATAGTCTGCACGTCTCTCTGCATAGGCAGCCCGCTAGCCATCAACCGCTCTCAAATCGTCTGCCTGAGCGGCCTCCTGCTGCTGCCGCCTGTCCTCGCCTTCCACCTCGCGTCCTTCGCCGCTGGGTTCTGGTCCGCGAAGCTCCCTGGAATGGCGCAGAGCGATGACGTGGCGAGGACGTTATCCCTATGCGGGGGCATGCAGAGCAGCACGCTGGCCATGCTGCTGGCGTCTCAGTTCCTCGGCTCCACCCACACGGTGCCTGCCTCGGTCTCTGTTGTGCTCATGTCTATCATTGGGCTCAGCCTCGGAAGCTTCTGGGGGTCGGGAAGGAAGCTTCTGGACTGGAACTTGTCTGGGCCTGTTGTGGGGGCGCAGGCATACACTGCTCCTGCTGAGGCGTAGCGGGGGGGCAATGCTAGGGATACATTAGAGAATGACCGGGCAATGCTACAGCGTTGCTTGTAGGATAGCTTGTAGCAGCTGCACAGGAGAGCGCAAGCTGGAAGGTGGAGCTGAAGACAAGTGCCGGTATCAAGAAGGATAACAAATGTTAGTTGCTGCCTGTCACGTGTAGTGTTGGTGGCCATTCTTTTTTGGCATGGTTGTGTACCTACCGTAATATGCAGCCATGTACATACCGTACATTAAGCATGGATACGTTTAGTTTCTAGATGGTGGCATTGGTTGGTTGGTGCTGTCGTTGAAGCGGCCTAGTATAAATTTTGTTTATATCTTGGTTTTGACATACTGGTAAAGCAGTATACGCTACAGTGTGAACGTCAGCTGCTTAGAGCATCAGTATGATTGTTGGTGTGTTGCAAACATTTTTCCAATACCACACATGTGACGGTTCTGAATCTCCCTTAGAGAACCCTCTACAGGCGATATCCCTTAAAGAATTTCCCATATCGATGCCCGTTCGTCTTCAGGCGACGACACTTCATGGCCACTCCCTGTCTCACTCCCCCTCCACTACTCCCCGTCTACTGAACGTCTCAAAAGTCTCAAGAGTAGTCCATGCCCTTGCGGTCGCGATTCGCCAGCGATAAAGCATGAGATTTTCCATGTTAGCGGGCGAAGGAGAATAATGCCTTGGCTATTTACACTGAGGAAAATTCTCCTTACCTCGTCCCGCACTACAAATCCAGCGCGACTCGGATTCAGCATTACTTTCAAATCTCGAATCTACACTACACGGTATGTGCTCGCGTGAAACGCGCGCCGCGTCACCTTGCTGGGATTCACGGTCATCCCTCCCGATCCGATCCGTCTCTCCTGTACACCACTGCTTCGAGCCACCTCATACCAACGATGGCGTCACCTTTCTCAGATTCACGGCGATCATCGTCGATGCATTCATCATCGATCGCTTGTGCAGCTCGCATCCCAATCACCCAAGAAATGACCCGTGCAAATCCCACACCAGAACTGGCAGAATGGTGAGGCACAGCGTAGATTGATGAACTCGTTGAGGTCGAAGCGTGGCTCGTTCTGCAGTGCTGCCTCCTGCAACGCTGCCTCCTGCAGTGCTGCCTGCATCTGCAGCGCACCCACCTGCGCCACAGCCATAACAAGGGGACCAAGGGCACAGCCACGAAGGCCTGAGTAAGTGGCTGAACATGGAGGGAAGTGAAAGCCGGCATGGTTTGGTTTGAGGAAAGGCGGGTTACCCGGGCGCCCCAGTGGACAAGCCAAACCACTTGTCATCACAACACCACCCTGCAGCTGTGCTTGTCCACTGGCGCGCCCATGGCGACTGCGAGGTTGGCGATGGTGTTCACGGCGGGGATGATGAGGTTCTTGTTGCTGCCTGATAGACGCGGCCTTAGCGCCACAAACACCTCCACTGCACCCCATCATGCACAGCACGGGCAGGAGATGGTGGCATAAGATTGACTGATAACAAGTGGGTAAGCATTGATGGCATGGACGAGAGATGCCCATCGGTCGATGCGCTGCCTGTGAAAAGTGGGAGCAGGGAGGTGGCTGGGTGGCTGCACTCACATGTGCCTTGGGGCACGATGCGGCGATTAGCCTCCTCAATGATGGCCTTGACCGCGTGCTTGACCTCCTGCCGTACCTGCGAGGAATAGCATCGAGGATACACAAGTCAGACACAATGGTTAAGTGGAATAGCTGTGAGATCACACGGCAACCCAACAGTACTCCGAATCACAGCAAGGTCGTAATGAGAGGGAGAGAAGACGCTCAAGAGATAAAGCTGTCTTCTCCCATTGCTGAAAATGCATCACAAGGTCAAACCGCTGTTGCTTACAAGAAACTGTCTCCTCCAGAGATTGATGTGAGTTTGAAGGTGCCGGTGACTGAAAATTCCATGAGGCCACTCAGTGTTGCACAGACGTCTCTGCACTCACATAATTCTGCCAGACGGCATGCAAACCCAGCTGCTGCTGATGGGAAACAAGTACAGCCATCCAATGCTGCCGAGATTCGCTACCTGACCAGTGAAACTGCTGCTTTCACGAGCAAGATAAGTTCAAAGACAGCCAGTAAATCGGGTACCATTGAACAACCTACAAATATCATTGAAACCTCTCTTGGCCATCAGGACTGTTGCCCTGATGTTCACCCGAACACCACGTTGAGGTGGAGGTTCGACGTTCGGGAAAAAATGTTTTATGTTAATGCTCAATGCACAATGTCCACCACATACCTGGACCACAGCAATGGCCATTGCCACCAACAGCCATGAGGGTCCCACCTTGCCAACATAAAGAGGAGCATCCAGACACCCCCTTTCGGGAACAGCACGTCTTGAGTGGTTGCTTTTTGAGGTGCAAAGAGAGGAAGCGGAAAAGCGCGAACTGGCACAAGACTCAAATCCACCCCCTGGCGTAGCATGAGCCTGCCCGAACCAGAGCCGGCCGGCTCGACTCCAGCAGGGCCTATTGTGCTTTAACGCCAGGTTCGTTACTTGAGCACCGAGGGCCGTCGTCGCACTAGTTCCCCAGCCACCCCCGCACACCAAGCCACAAACCACCCAAGGCTGCTGCCCCTACGGAAGTGAGCTGCATACTACCTCCCATGCTTTACCTGTTCCCAGCACACACACATACCACACCATAGCACCGTCATCGCTAAAGGAGAAACACACAGACACTCCCTTTCGGAAACAACACGTCTCGAGTGGATGTATTTTGAGGTGCAGAGAGAGGAAGAAGGAAAAGCGCGAACTGGCACAAGACTCAAATCCACCCCCTGACGTAGCATGAGCCTGCCCGAACCAGAGCCGGCCGGCTCGACTCCAGCAGGGCCTATTGTGCTTTAACGCCAGGTTCGTTACTTGAGCACCGAGGGCCGTCGTCGCACTAGTTCCCCTGCCACCCCCGCACAACAAGCCACAAACCACCCAAGGCTGCTGCCCCTAGGGAAGCGAGCTGCATGATTGCACCCTTGCTTACCTTACCTACCCCAAGGCAGTCACAAGACACTCACAACCAAGGCGACAAGCACACACATGGGGCAGTCATAACACACTCACAACCACATGAGGCAGTTATAACACACTCACAACCACATGTGGAAGTCATAACACACTCACGACCACATGAGGCAGTCATAACACACTCACAACCACATGAGGCAGCCATAACACACTCACAACCACATGAGGCAGTCATAACACACTCACAACCACATGAGGCAGTCATAACACACTCACAACCACATGAGGCCGTCATAACACACTCACAACCACATGAGGCAGTCATATCACAATCACAACCACATGAGGCAGTCATAACACACTCACAACCACATGAGGCAGCCATAACACACTCACAACCACATAAGGCAGTCATAACACACTCACAACCACATGAGGCAGTCATAACACACTCACAACCACATGAGGCAGTCATAACACACTCACAACCACATGAGGCAGTCATATCACACTCACGACCACATGAGGCACTCATAACACACTCACAACCACATGAGGCAGTCATAACACACTCACAACCACATGAGGCACTCATAAAACACTCACAACCAGGGCAGCAAGCACACACATGCAGCAGTCATAACACACTCACAACCACATGAGGCAGTCATAACACACTCACAACCACATGAGGCAGTCATAACACACTCACAACCACATGAGGCAGTCATATCACACTCACAACCACATGAGGCAGTCATAACACACTCACAACCACATGAGGCAGTCATAACACACTCACAACCACATGAGGCACTCATAACACACTCACAACCAGGGCAGCAAGCACACACATGCAGCAGTCATAACACACTCACAACCACATGAGGCAGTCATAACACACTCACAACCACATGAGGCACTCATAACACACTCACAACCAAGGCAGCAAGCACACACATGCAGCAGTCATAACACACTCACAACCACATGAGGCAGTCATAACACACTCACAACCAAATGAGGCACTCATAACACACTGACAACCAGGGCAGCAAGCACACACATGCAGCAGTCATAACACACTCACAACCACATGAGGCAGTCATAACACACTCACAACCACATGAGGCAGTCATAACACACTCACAACCACATGAGGCACTCATAACACACTCACAACCAGGGCAGCAAGCACACACATGCAGCAGTCATAACACAACACAACCACATGAGGCAGTCATAACACACTCACAACCACATGAGGCAGTCATAACACAGTCACAACCACATGAGGCAGTCATAACACACTCACAACCACATGAGGCAGTCATAACACACTCACAATCACATGAGGCAGTCATAACACACTCACAACCACATGAGGCACTCGTAACACACTCACAACCACAAGAGGCACTCATAACACACTCACAACCAGGGCAGCAAGCACACACATACAGCTGTCATATCACACTCACAACCACATGAGGCATTTATAACAAACTCACAACCACATGAGGCAGTCATAACACACTCACAACCACATGAGGCAGTCATATCACACTCACAACCACATGAGGCAGTCATAACACACTCACAACCACATGAGGCAGTCATAACACACTCACAACCACATGAGGCAATCGTAACACACTCACGACCACATGAGGAACTCGTAACACACTCACGACCAGGGCAGCAAGCACACACATGCAGGAGTCATATCACACTCACAACCACATGAGGCATTCATAACACACTCACAACCACATGAGGCAGTCATAACACACTCACAACGACATGAGGCAGTCATATCACACTCACAACCACATGAGGCAGTCATAACACACTCACAACCACATGAGGCAGTCATAACACACTCACAACCACATGAGGCAGTCATAACACACTCACAACCACATGAGGCAGTCATAACACACTCACAACCACATGAGGCAGTCATAACACACTCACAACCACATGAGGCAGTCATATCACACTCACGACCACATGAGGCACTCATAACACACTCACAATCACATGAGGCAGTCATAACACACTCACAACCACATGAGGCACTCATAACACACTCACAACCAGGGCAGCAAGCACACACATGCAGCAGTCACAACACACTCACAACCACATGAGGCAGTCATAACACACTCACAACCACATGAGGCACTCATAACACACTCACAACCAGGGCAGCAAGCACACACATGCAGCAGTCATAACACACTCACAACCACATGAGGCAGTAATAACACACTCACAACCACATGAGGCAGTCATAACACACTCACGACCACATGAGGCACTCATAACACACTCACAACCAGGGCAGCAAGCACACACATGCAGCCGTCATAACACACTCACAACCACATGAGGCACTCATATCAAACTCACAACCACATGAGGCAGTCATAACACACTCACAACCACATGAGGCACTCATAACACACTCACAACCAGGGCAGCAAGCACACACATGCAGCAGTCATAACACACTCACAACCACATGAGGCAGTCATAACACACTCACAACCACATGAGTCACTCATAACACACTCACAACCAGGGCAGCAAGCACACACATGCAGCAGTCATAACACACTCACAACCACATGAGGCAGTCATAACACACTCACAACCACATGAGGCAGTCATAACACACTCACAACCACATGAGGCAGTCATATCACACTCACAACCACATGAGGCAGTCATAACACACTCACAACCACATGAGGCAGTCATAACACACTCACAACCACATGAGGCACTCATAACACACTCACAACCAGGGCAGCAAGCACACACATGCAGCAGTCATAACACACTCACAACCACATGAGGCAGTCATAACACACTCACAACCACATGAGGCAGTCATAACACACTCACAACCAAGGCAGCAAGCACACAGATGCAGCAGTCATAACACACTCACAACCACATGAGGCAGTCATAACACACTCACAACCACATGAGTCACTCATAACACACTCACAACCAGGGCAGCAAGCACACACATGCAGCAGTCATAACACACTCACAACCACATGAGGCAGTCATAACACACTCACAACCACATGAGGCAGTCATAACACACTCACAACCACATGAGGCAGTCATATCACACTCACAACCACATGAGGCAGTCATAACACACTCACAACCACATGAGGCAGTCATAACACACTCACAACCACATGAGGCAGTCATAACACACTCACAACCACATGAGGCAGTCATAACACACTCACAACCACATGAGGCAGTCATAACACACTCACAACCACATGAGGCAATCGTAACACACTCACGACCACATGAGGAACTCGTAACACACTCACGACCAGGGCAGCAAGCACACACATGCAGGAGTCATATCACACTCACAACCACATGAGGCATTCATAACACACTCACAACCACATGAGGCAGTCATAACACACTCACAACGACATGAGGCAGTCATATCACACTCACAACCACATGAGGCAGTCATAACACACTCACAACCACATGAGGCAGTCATAACACACTCACAACCACATGAGGCAGTCATAACACACTCACAACCACATGAGGCAGTCATAACACACTCACAACCACATGAGGCAGTCATAACACACTCACAACCACATGAGGCAGTCATATCACACTCACGACCACATGAGGCACTCATAACACACTCACAATCACATGAGGCAGTCATAACACACTCACAACCACATGAGGCACTCATAACACACTCACAACCAGGGCAGCAAGCACACACATGCAGCAGTCACAACACACTCACAACCACATGAGGCAGTCATAACACACTCACAACCACATGAGGCACTCATAACACACTCACAACCAGGGCAGCAAGCACACACATGCAGCAGTCATAACACACTCACAACCACATGAGGCAGTAATAACACACTCACAACCACATGAGGCAGTCATAACACACTCACGACCACATGAGGCACTCATAACACACTCACAACCACATGAGGCAGTCATAACACACTCACAACCACATGAGGCAGTCATAACACACTCACAACCACATGAGGCACTCATAACACACTCACAACCACATGAGGCAGTCATAACACACTCACAACCACATGAGGCAGTCATAACACACTCACAACCACATGAGGCAGTCATAACACACTCACAACCAAATGAGGCACTCATAACACACTCACAACCAGGGCAGCAAGCACACACATGCAGCAGTCATAACACACTCACAACCACATGAGGCAGTCATAACACACTCACAACCACATGAGGCAGTCATAACACACTCACAACCAAGGCAGCAAGCACACAGATGCAGCAGTCATAACACACTCACAACCACATGAGGCAGTCATAACACACTCACAACCAAATGAGGCACTCATAACACACTCACAACCAGGGCAGCAAGCACACACATGCAGCAGTCATAACACACTCACAACCACATGAGGCAGTCATAACACACTCACAACCCTCAGTAGAGAAAGGCCCTGCCCCATGGGCATCCACACAGACAGCAGCTGTGGAGGCGGTGGAGGCAGAGGAGGCGGAGGAGGCGGAGGAGGCGGTGGAAGGCGGTGGAAGGCGGTGGGAGGCGGTGGAAGGAAGCGGGGCGCCAACGATGTGCCCGGTGGAGGCGGGGTGCGGGGCGAGGCTCATGAGGGAAGCGGCATGACCAGCGCTCCCACGAGTACCGTGAGGTTGGGCACACGAGTACCAGGATGGCCCGCATGCGCGATCGCTGGTAGTCCAAGAGCTGAAGGACAGTGAAGGACGGTGGGGGGGATGGGGCCGTTCAGTCGGTCAGGCGAGGACGGGTGAGAAAGAAAATCAAAGTCACGTATGCAGTTGCACTAACGCCGCACTGTGAGTGTGCGTAACCAGCATGGCAGACATTTCAATGCATTGTCCCTGTGTTCATCAAAACGTGTTACCCACCTGGTCTGGTCGCAGAGCGCAATGATGTGGGTAAGACTCATGCCATGCTCGCTGACCCCCGTCCCCATGGGGCTTAAACGCGACCCAAACCAGCATTGACCTGCGTTGACCTCGCGTTGACCTGCGTTGACCTGCGTTGACCAGAGCCTCTCTGACCACTGACCTGGTCGCGGAGCGCAATGATGTTGGTCGGACTCATGCCATGCTCGCTGGCCTCCGCCCCCATGGAATCACCGCTGCACGCTTCATTGGCGACTGCAGATCCTGCTCCAATGTATGGGGGGACGGATGGGCAGGGAGGATGAGAAGGGGACGTCGGGAGGCGGCAGTCAGTGACGCGGAAACACACGAGCAAACGAGCAAGCAGCTCGTCAAATGGAAACACACGCGTCGACGCGGAGAGCAGAGGAGGGCGGCGGGAGTGGAGTGGGCAAGGGAGGGGAGAAAGGATGGGAGAAAGGAAGGGGACCACACTCACACTCACCCCGAGCAAGTCAAGCACAGCGGCGTTGACGCGGTGAGCCATGATGTGAGCTTCACGGCTTTGGCGCACCGCATGTCCAGGTGGTCAGATCAGCGGCCAGCTCGGGAAAACTCGGTGAGCCATCACGATGAGCTTGTCGGATCTGGCGTACTGCATGTTGTCCGCGCTCGCCAGCATGTACCGAGCTCGGGGACCGCGCCACCTTCCGTGTGGACCGCACTCGCCAGCATGTCCCGAGCCCTGGCCATCTTGGCGGGCTCAGGGGAACGCCACCCGCACCACTCGCGCACCACTCGCGCACGCGCCGCATGGCGCACGTCGTCCCTCGTATGCGTGCTCGGGTTGCAGGGTTGCGCCGTCCCTCGTCCCCCCTCGTCACGAGTCCACCGTCGCCGCGCTTCCCCCGTCGCCACGCGTATCCCCTCGTCGCGCCTCCCCCCTCGACGCGCATCCTCCCTCGCCGCGCCTCCGCCCTCGTCGCGCGTCTCCCCTTAGTCGCTGCCTCCCGTTGCCTCCATGTTCCACGCCCTTCGCTCCTCCCTTCGCCCTTACGCCAGTCCCTCACGTCAACGGACGCTCGCTCCGTGATGTCTCGCCCGTCCCTTCGCGTCTCGCCCGTCGCTTCGCGTCTCGCCCGTCGCATGGCGTCTCGCCCGTCGCATGGCGTCTCGCCCGTCGCATGGCGTCTCGCCCGTCGCATGGCATCTCGCCCGTCGCTTGGCGCCTCGCCCGTCGCTTGGCGTGTCGCCCGTCGCTTGGCGCCTCGCCCGTCGCTTGGCGCCTCGCCCGTCGCTTGGCGTGTCGCCCGTCGCATGGCGTCTCGCCCGTCGCTTGGCATCTCGCCCGTCGCTTGGCGCCTCGCCTGTCGCTTGGCGCCTCGCCCGTCGCTTGGCGTGTCGCCCATGGCATGGCGTATCGCCCGTCGCTTGGCGTATCGCCCGTCGCTTCGCGTCTCGCCAGTCTTGCTCGCGCTGCCGTGCGATAATTCCGCGCGTCCCCTCGTCGCGCGCCTCCCATCTCCACTCGCCTACCATCCTCGCGCGTCCCACTGGCGTCGCGCGTCGCTGTCGTCCCCCCGTTCAGCTCCAATCGACGCAAGACGCTTCCTTTCCCTAATCGAGCATTGATGCGCCGTTCCCCTCCTTCAGTCGTAGCCGTTGCATCGTCGCTGCCTCCCGTCGTCGCGCGACCCACTGTCGTCGCCTGTCTCGCTCGCGCTGCCGCGGGATGATCACCGGTGGGAGGAGTCAGATTTTCGTTGGAAGCAGCGACACCGGCGTGAACCGTCGCCGTCACGACGTGGAACCACCCTCACTCTTGCTGCTCGGACGGAGATTTCGCCGTGCTCGCTCTCCAAGCTCGAACGGAGATTTTGCCGCAACGACAAGAATCGTCGCCGCAATGACAAGAATCGACGCCGGCGCCGGCCGACTTTGCCAGCGACCGTTGACCGTGATCGACAAGATCTCCAGGCGATCGACATGTCAGTATTCTTTGTGCACGGGTCTGCGGTGCTCGCTTCTGCATCCTCTGCTGCATCCGCTGCTGCCGATACTTTATGCGTGACAGTTGAAGTTAAACGTGTCAGGGCTGCTACAGCGATTCGCTGCTTCAAGTGCGGCTACAGATGATGGCTATAGTCGCAACTACTGTGCGTAAGAGTAATCCGTGCAGATAATGACTTGCTCGTCGCACAGCTACTCAACGTGTTCACTGCAGCATCGATAACCTTCGGCAGTTCGCGAATTCTCGCCTTAACTTCCACAAGAGCTGCTGGAGTCTAGCTGGATGCAGAACCTATCTGATACGTACTAAAGATAACGTCAGAAGTTACTAAAACTGGAACCATTTCAACACTCGTAAGTTTGCCAGCTAGTTCGAGCGATCTGAAGCACTGTATAATAAAGTTGTCAATCTGACACTATCCCGCTGCGTGATCATAACACAATCAGACCGATCTAGGTATCTGGAGGAAGCCATGGCGGCGAGGTGGCAAGTGAGGTAAGAGGCAGATATGAGAGAAAGCGAGCAGGAAGGGGAGGGCTTTGGCAGACAGAGAGCAAGGATACAATCAATACAAGCAGTCTCGCCGTCCCTGCCCTACCAGCACGGCAGGTAAAACTTTTTGCGCGGGCTCTGATCGAAGCTCGCTCCAAGCAAGTCCAAACCAGAAGCGAGCAGGTTCGGAATCAAAGCCATGGAGTGTAACAAAATCGGAGGGAAAATCGGCTCGGCAATTCAAAGTTGGCAGACGAGCCGCCTGACACAGACCCGAAGCAAGGGCTGGCAGCTCCGCCGCAAAACCAACGAAATTGGTTTGTCCTCGCTCAAGCAAAGATTCGCATTTACTGAAATTTATGATTCCGCGAATCCTGCTAAAATATGTCCAATACATGACATACTGTATTTGGCCTTTTGAAGCATATGGAGAACTCTTCTGTATAAGAAATCAGGTTCAAGTTGTTACCACTTCATATAAATAATCAGATTCTATGGCAGGAACATGTTCGATCGATGGACAGATGAATCCAACATAACATTTCATCCAATAACGCGTATGGCGTCTAGGCTTTCAGAGGGCAGGCCAGACACAGAGCCTCCTAGACTCAGCACTCTCTGCAGCAGTTTCAGTGCCTCTGCAGTGACCACCTCCCCCGGCAGCAACACAGGGATTCCAGGCGGGTACGGGCACAGCATGTCTGCACTGTAGCGCCCCACCGCCTGCTGAGCTGGCACAACCTCACTGTGCAAGAAAAACGCATCCCGTGGGGGTAATTGCGGGCAGCACATTGAAGTCCCATTGCTAGTCGGTGGCACAACCGGAAACAACCTTTCTTCTAGCTTTACTTCGCCCTCCTCCCACTCCACTCCATCCACACACTCACTAACTCCTCTCTCCTCCACCATGGCAGCGAATGCAGCAACAACACGGTCCACATCGCTCTCAGTGCTGCCAGTGCTGACAGCAAACATGAGGCCATGCAGGAAGGGCAGCTCTGCCACCACCCCATGCTGCAGCCTCAGCACATCATCAGCCTCGTATCCTGTCAGCCCCAGCTCCCTCACGCTCACCGTCACCCGCAGCGGGTCAAACCCTGCATGCCTCTCGGGCTGTTTATGGCTTCTCGAGGGTTGGGCTGGGCTGAGGAGGACTCGCAGGTTGAGCGCAAGCAGGGAGGAGCGCAGGCGGGTGGCGAGGTGGAGGGCGTGAGCGAGGGCGGAGGGGAAAGAGGGGCGGGCGACATGGCCGGTGGTGGCGTCGAGGGACGCGAGGAGCAGGTAGGAGGGCGACGATGACTGCAGCAGCTGCAGCACTCGCGCCACGTCTCGTGGGCTCACACGGGGTGATGGCGGCAGTGGTACTTCTGGCTGTGGCGCTGCTGCTGAAGGTGGTGGTACTGCTGACTGCAATGGTGTTTCTGGCGGTTGTGGTAATGCGGCTTCACCCACATTCTCAACCGACGAGCCTGAATCCCCATGGCCGATATGCAGCATGGCGGACTGAGTGAGCGATCCCAGCACCTTGTGCGTCGACTGCACCACTATGTCCGCCCCCGCATCTAGCGCCGTCTCTGGGAGCGCGCTGTGGAACTTAAAGTGCGCCCCGTGAGCCTCGTCTACTATCAACGGCGCGCCTGCCTCGTGGCACGCCTGGGCGATTCCCCTGATGTCGCTGCATACCCCGTAATAGGTCGGGGAAACCACCAGAACAGCTCCTATTCGCGCTCCAGTAGCAGCCACGTGGCGTAATGCCTCTGTAACGCTCTCCAGGGTAACTCCGTGAGCAATACCCCAAGAATTATCGGTCACAGGGAGGATATAGTGCGGCACGGCTCTTGATAGCACCATACTGGAAAATGCGCATTGATGAGCGTTGCGAGGGAGAATAAGGACGTCGCCGGGTCGGCAACAGGCTACTATGGCCGCCTGCACGCCCACAGTGCTGCCGTTGACTAAGAAACGGGTCTCCGACGCGCCGAATACTCTCGCTGCGCGCTCGTGCGCCTCGGCGATGACGGATTCTGGCGCGAAGAGGTTGTCGAGATCCGGCAGCTCTGGCAAATCGTGGCGGAAAACGTCAGCACCGAACGCGGAGCGCGCACGGGGAGGAGCTCCGAGGCCCCTGCGATGAGCCGGAAAGTGGAAGCTTGCCACGTCAGCATCCGCGTTGCACGTCAGCGCGTCGAGAAGAGGATCGGTTTGATTCGACTCGGAAGCTTCGATCGTTATCTGGGAAACGTCTGAAGACCCTATTGAATCATCAAGACATTGGATCGGCGACTGGGATGATTCTGCTTGGCATGAAAGCCGGGAAACGCGACAGTTGCGGGGTGCGGAGCGAACCGCAAGCCTCGAATTCAGCGGAAGGGAGCGGCTGAAGGATGACGGCGTGGATAATCCAGTCCTCGCGAACGCAGCGGGCGAAGATAATGCCGTCATTTCCGAACGCCGTCAAACTCCGACCTCACAAACGTACCACTCAATTACATGGTGTGTAGTCGAACACGCTTGCGCAAAGTTCTACATGCCTGGCCTGGAACCAGGCCGCCATAAACGATCAAGAATGAAGTGATGACAGAAATAAAAGAGGCGAAGTGATTCAGCTGCAGTTGCTGGAAACTGTGAAGCTGAGCGAACAAATTTGCGACCTGTTACTCGCTCGCACAGGGAAAATATTGCGCTTCGCTGTTACAGAGCACTCTCGAAGGGAGCCAATCTTCGCATACCTCCGCACTTCTCCCCCACCCCCTTTGCGCCACCTCCCGTGCCCTTTCCCCGCCGTTCCCCCCTCCCTTCCTTGAAGCAACCCTATTTTCCGACTCCCCCCGCCAGCCTGTGTGCTTCCCATCCCGCATCACCACTTCTCCACCACACCACGCCACGTCCATCCCGTCTCCGCCATTTCCTCACGCCTCGTCTCGCGGGTAGCCTTGTGAGTATCCGTCAAGTGGAGGGAGAGAAGCAGTAGTAAACTATGGCGGCTTCGTCGTACTGGCGCGCAGCGGGGATGACGTATCTCGCGTACGCGAATCAGTGCGCTGCGCATCTGCGGGCGTGCCTCAAGGAGCCGCTTAAGTCACAAGCGATCGCTCGCGAGCAGGTGTACTACAAGGTCGTGCAGTGGAAGGAGGGCGTGCCGGAGAAGCCAGGTGCGTATCCCTCCGCATCCCCATCCCTGGGTATCACCTGAGTCCGTATCACTCGCCCTTGCACAGCGATCGCGCGCGAGCAGGTGTATAACAAGGTCGCACAGTGGAAGGAGGGCGTGCCGGATAAGCCAGGTGCGTATTCCGAAAGCCTCGTCGCCTCACCTCGCCCAATGCGCAGCGATCGCCATAGATTCACTCGTCGATCGGTTTCAGTGTAAATTCCCAGTCAACACTTCCCGCCACTTTGGACGAAGCTCCCGCCATTTCTGCTGAAGTTCCAGCGTTTCCCCTAAAGTAGCTGGCGTCCATAAGTACGCCATAATATACACACTCTTTGAAGCCTCCATGTAACAAGCCTTGTGATGTGATCCGGTAATAATCTCCCTTCGTGCATGTCCCACCATGTCTCTGCTGCAGTGATCCGGCAAGTCTCTGAGGCGGTGAAGTCATCTGCCTGATCCGAGGCTGCCTGATCCCAGCACCTCTCTTCCCACCCACTCCATGACCTGGAGTTGACATGGCACAAGGGCCGTTTGCTGCTGCTGTGATGCATGCTTGCTGTGTATTGGTGACTCTTATGGGTTCTTCTTGCAGATCACTTTAATGTGAAGAGCTGCATCCTATTTTCACCCTGTTGGAGGCTGGTGGTGGTCCGTTAGTCACCTGTATGTTGAGTGGTATGAGTCATTCAGACCAGTTTGTACCGCGGCTGGCTGTGGCCTTATGTAGTAGAAATCAGACAGTCTAATCACCCCTTCTGGACTGGTGTGCATGGAAGGAATGACATGGGGTAGTACCAGTCACTCCGCTAGCGGATGTGATGTGAGTGACCACTAGAAACATGCACATGGTGCAAGCGGCCATACCTTAAAACATCAGAAACAGCACAGAATCTGCAATTTCAAGTATGTACAGCACCAGTAAACAGATGTCATATACATATATTAACACAAACCGTTGAAACGGTAAGCAAACTCACACATGGCTGGATAATGACCAGCTCAACACAACACAGAAAGAGAAATGGGCCTACCCAATCAGAGCAGGCTGCGGCGACCCGCCTGCCCCAGTCCCCACCCCTCCATCCAGTCAAATTCCCAACACGTCCCCTACTTGACACATCTCCCCCATCAATGGAGACTCCCCCCTTCACTTGGCCCCCGTGCCTTCCATTCCCGCTCAGTTGAGGCATCTAAGGCTGTACTCTGAGAAGCTGCGAGGAAGCTGCGAGTGCAGCAGCTCATGGTGTTGCAGCAGTGGCGGGGGGTCGAGTGAGAAGCACACCGTCAGCACCGTCACATTGTCGCACGCGTGCCGCCGGATCGCCTCCTCCACTAGATCCTGTGAGACGGAACAGAGTGATGACAGTGCGGTGCAATGAGTCAAAGCGGGGAAGGACTAGAGCAGGGGATTAGGGATACCGTAAGCCGAGAGTTCTAAGATAGCTTAAACTTGAATACGAATGCAACAGCCGCACCTTGGAGCACTGCTGGGGGTCGTTGTGCAGTCTGAGTCGCCTGCGAGCGAACGCCACGACCTCCTTGCTGCCGCCGCCCTCATTGTTGAACGCGTCCCACAGCCCGTCACACGCCAGCACCAGAAACTCGTCCTCGGGGTTCGACAGATGCGCCTCGTGCACCTCTGGATCCGCTATAAGCGGCCCCTCTATAACGTCACTGTCGCTGTCGCTACCAGGGGATGGTAGCGACGCCATCGCTGCAGCAGAGCCTGTACAGGTGGCGCCACTGGCACTTCTCACAGCAGCGTCCGCTTCACTGCTGCCTGCAGCATGACTACCACCTGCCACATCAGTAGCAACATCTGTAGCAGCACCTGTAGCACCACTTGTAGCACCACTTGTAGCAGCATCTATAGCACCAGCTGCACCGGCTGAATCAGCTGCAGCGGCCGCAGAGGAGCGGCGGGTCTTGAGGCCCTCAATGTGCCAGTCGCCCAGCGCCCTGGTGACAGCCAGCTGGTCGTTCAAATAGTCGTCCACCACCCACCCGCCCGCCCGCTCCACGCGCGCGCGCTCGTGCTGGCAGACAGCGCGGTGGTCCCGCGACAGCTCCACCGCCTGCCCCCTGCGGCACAGCACCGCCCGGCAGTCCCCCGCGTTTGCTACGTACAGCGACCTGCAGGGGTTGGGGGCGGAGAGGGGTGGGGGGTGGGGAGGTTGGGGACGAAGGGATGACGTGATGGGGGGATGACGTGATGGGGGGATGACGTGATGGGGGGATGAATTGATGGAGATGGGGAGATGATCGGATGGGGGTGGTAGCACACGGCGCTATGCGGTCACCCTCGACATCAACTGCACGCGCTACACCGACCGCACCCACCGCACCCACTACACCGCACAGCACCCATCACATCATACAGCACGCACTGCACGGCACGTCAACCACAACACGCACGCCCTATCGCCTCTGCCCTCCGCACCTGCCCAGCAGCAGCACGGCGAGCGCAGTGGTGCCCGAGTCCATGGCGTGCCCCTCCGCCGTGCGCGCCGTCTCCAGCTCGCGGTCCGTCCGCAGGAACGCGTTTCTGAGCGCGCTGCCCACGTGCAGCGGGAACGCCGCGTCGCGCACCACGTGGCCCAGCAGCTTCTGCCGCGCGAACTGCGCCGCCGCGTCGCCGCCGTGACCGTCGAAGATCTGCGGGAAGAGCGGGACGGTTAGGACGGGCCGACGGGACAATTGACGAGAAGGGAGGGGGGGTTGAACGACGGGTAAGTTGAACGACAATGACCATGAAAGAGATGTATGACGGGAAAGAAGCTCTGTACCGTTTGAAAACGAGTTGACGCGCCTACGTGATCTTACTCTTAACCGAGCCTCATGCCGGACCTACTCGTGACTCACCCCGTAAAAAGCTCGCGGATGCGCAACGGCCACGTCACCAATCGCCTGTGACAAATCATCTACCGCCACGTGGGCGTCTTCCATCCGCTGCCGGCCGCCTTTATCCGCGCTAAAGCCGGAGCGGACGACAGGCCACGTGGACCCTCCCGACCCTAAAACTGACTGATCTCGATGTTCCGGCTGTTGAGATACACCCCCATTCTGCTGCTGCTGCTGTTGATACGGAATCCGCGAGTCTAAGGAAGAGTGTGCGATGGGTGCGGTGGGCGGCAGGTGCAGCGTGCAGCTGCTGTGCGTGCGAGCGCCGAGCATGCACAGCGTGCCGTCCTGCAGGACAAGCGGAGGTAGAGAGGGACGGGAGGGAGGGGTTGGGAATTGCGGTTAGAGTGGTTCATGGAAAGACAGCTGGTCTCAGCAGAATAGCCGGCATGAGCTACTTATTCACCGCTCGATCGTGGAAACGGAAGCTATGAAGCTTTAGGATGTAGCGACAGCACGCAACTTACTTCTATTCGAGGCGGTTTCATGGGGTAATTCACCATGACCCAGACTGTCGATGTGCACCGTCACAAGCAGCAAGTCTCTGGTCTGACAAAATTCGAGATAAATAACTACGCTCTACGAAGGCGGAATCGCTCCTTTAGTGCAATACCAATAGTCAGACCTATAACAATATAACAAAATCCACTTGATAATTAGCTTTCCGAACAAGAGTCGTTGCGCACTGGTCAGATTCGTAAAGCTGCAGCTCAAACCAACTCAACGTGGAGGTGAGAGGCAGGTAGGCAGGAGAAGAGCGGAGTGGAGTGGAGGTTGCGGCGGGTGCACGCATGTGCTCCCTGACGCTGGGGTGGTGTGTGCGGTGGAATCAAGGGAGATCGCCACGAAACTCCCTTGGTCATGGATGGATGGTTGGATGGAGCTCTGAGGAGCCTCGAGAATATACCAGACGTACGTCTGAGAAGTAGTTCGGGTGAGGCGCGTGAACGAGTTATTTGGCTCGGTGAGGTGAAAGAAGCAGCTTCGGCGAGGGGCTGGGGGGCTTCGGCGAGGAGCTTATTGGCCAACAAGGTGCGAGGGGAAAGAGACAGGCACGTGGTTTGGTTGTGCCTGACTGACGCTTGGGTTTCGTTTGGTTTGACTGCAACGTAAATCACAATCTTGTTTATGGACGGTTGTGATGACGGGACTGCGGGACAGGGTTCGGTTGGGGAAGGAGGGATGCGGCGATGCATCCATGACGAACGAACAGACGGACAGCGCAGCAACGAGAGACTGATGACAGACGTGACCACGGACCACTGGCCAACCAACCAAATTACAGCTGGAGAAACGGCTCAGCTGGAAGTCAAAGCAAAACAGAAGGGTTTTTATACGGGCCATCACAAAAAATTTCGTAGTTATCACGAGCAGTCACATGTTCCGCCAATTCTATCATGAACGGTCACATGTTCCGCGAAATCTATCACGAACCATCACACGGGTATCACCCGCCGTCACTCGAAGGCACTAACATATATCACGGGTAGTCACACTTGAAACTTTGCTATCACAGATGAGCCCTGTCATCATTTCGTTGACCCGCCCTGAAACACTGTACAGATTTAGGGACTTTATTTGCGGGTCCTGGTTTTTGTCCTTTTTACGCGACCACTTTGGGCGAAAAGATACCTGGTTACGTTCGAATCGACGTAACACATTAGTTCTATTAAAATTATGAATGAATTGGAACGCATGTATATATATAGCTGAGTTCACAACTTATTACTTGGAACACACAATTTATTTCGTTATACAGCGGATAGAATATACAGAATGAGAATAATCTCACTGTGATACAGTATCACTAGCCATCAATTAAATACTATAGACTTAATAATCTCATGCCAGCTTCGGCTAGTGATAGGCTGGCATGAGATTATTAAGTCTATAGTATTTAATTTATGGCTAGTGATACTGTATTACGGTGAGATTATTCTCATTTTGTATATTCTATCCGCTGCATAACGAAATAAATTGTGTGTTCCAAGTTATAAGTTGTGAACTCAACTATATATATATGCGTTCCAATTCATTCATAAATTTAATAGAACTAATGTGTTACGTCGAACCGAACGTAACCAGGTATCTTTGCGCCCAACCTGGTCGCGTATACAGGACAAAAACCAGGACCCCGAAATAAAGTCCCTAAATCTGTACAGTGTTTCAAGGCGGGTCAACGAAATGATGACAGGGTTCATCTGTGATAGCAAAGTTTAGAGTGTGACTACCCGTGATATATGTTATTGCCTTTGAGTGACGGCGGGTGATACCCGTGTGATGGTTCGTGATAGATTTCGCGGAACATGTGACCGTTCATGATAGAATTGGCGGAACATGTGACTGCTCGTAATAACTATGAAGTGTTTTGTGACGGCCTGTATAAAAACCCAAAACGGAATGAGCTTCGAACGATCTGCCATGAAACGTGGCGGGCAAGTTGAATCCAAGGGCTGAGTCGGCATCAGTGACAAAAGCTATAGATTGACGGCTCCGATCGAATCTGTCGCATCCGGCTTGAAGTTCGCTGGCAGGTGGTCACTGAGAGCTGGCGCAAGCTCATGGTTTCACGACCTGAAGAGGATATTCGCTACACGGTAGCTTTGGGAGAAATGTTGTACTACATGATAAGCTCGCGTCTCATATTTACAAACGTTTAACACTTGGTTGGGAAACTACGAACATGATTGGTTCACGAGTGACGAATTTTTTCACGAGCGGAGGAAATATATGGGCGAAGTTGTGAAGAACTGAGGCCAAAACCACACCTCAGGGGCAGGTTTGGATCACGTCCGCACCTTGTAGGACAGGTTTGGCGTGAGTGTACTGTACTTTGTGCGACCAACCCTGACGACGGAAACACCGATTGTGCAAGGGAGAGAAGTGGCAGGGAAAAACGAAGTGCCATCACGCGCACTCCGGCTATACATCCTTACACGTAGTCATAACAATACCACTGCATTAGTAAGCAATCTTCTGTCCAAAGGCGTGAAGAAAGTGAAACATGTAACTGTGGGGAGCAGCAGTAGCGCACCCTCTTGCGTATGCCCGTGATTAGGTTATAGCCGTCACATTCCCGCCACCCTATCGCCGCTTCCCGCCACCCGTCTCCCCTGTTCGCCGCCCAATCTCCCGTGCTCGCCGCCCGATCTCCCCTTCCCGCGGCCCGATCTCCCCTTCCTGCCGCCCGATATCCCCTTCCCGCATCCTCTCGCCTTTCCGCGTAGCCTCCTCTCGCCTCTCCGCGCGGCCTCCTCTCGCCTCTCCGCGCGGCCTCCTCTCGTCTCTCCGCGCGGCCTCCTCTCGCCTCTCCGCGCGGCCTCCTCTCACCTCTCCGCGCGGCCTCCTCTCGCCTCCCCGCGCCGTCTCCTCTCGCCTCCCCGCGCGGCCTCCTCTCGCCTCTCCGCGCGGCCTCCTCTCGCCTCCTCTCGCCACTCCGCGCGGCCTCCTCTCGCCTCTCCGCGCGGCCTCCTCTCGCCTCTCCGCGCGGCCTCCTCTCGCCTCCCCGCGCGGCCTCCTCTCGCCTCTCCGCGCGGCCTCCTCTCGCCTCCCCGCGCGGCCTCCTCTCGCCTCTCCGCGCGGCCTCCTCTCCCCTCCCTTTGCCCTCGCTACCCCCTCCCATCGCCATCGCTTCCCCCTCCCGTCGCCCTCGCTTCCCCCTCCCATCGCCCTCGCTTCCCCCTCCCATCGCCCTCGCTTCCCCCTCCCATCGCCCTCGCTTCCCCCTCCCATCGCCCTCGCTTCCCCCTCCCATCGCCCTCGCTTCCCCCTCCCGTCGCCCTCGCTTCCCCCTCCCTTTGCCCTCGCTTCCCCCTCCCATCGCCATCGCTTCCCCCTCCCATCGCCCTTGCTTCCCCCTCCCGTCGCCCTTGCTTCCCCCTCCCGTCGCCCTCGCTTCCCCCGCCCATCGCTAGTCCACTTGCGCCATCTGTCAGCGTGGGGCAGCAGCACCACCAACGCCTCCTCCTCTCACCTCCTTGCCTTCCTCTTCCCCCTCTCCCCCCCAAACCCCCACCCACTCTTCCCCTGCAGTTGCTGGTTCACTTGCGCCATCTGTCAGTGTGGGGCAGCAGCATCACCAACGCCTCTGCGCCGCTGCTCCCTTTTCCCCCACTCCCACCATCCTCTTTCCACCCCCGCCTCTCCCCCTTCGCCTGCAGTCGCTCGTTCACTTGCGCCATCTGTCAGTGTGGGGCAGCAGCATCACCAACGCCTCTGCGCCGCTGCTCCCCTTCCCCCACTCCCACCATCCTCTTTCCACCCCCGCCTCTCCCCCTTCCCCTGCAGTCGCTCGTTCACTTGCGCCATCTGTCAGTGTGGGGCAGCAGCATCACCAACGCCTCTGCGCCGCTGCTCCCTTTTCCCCCACTCCCACCATCCTCTTTCCACCCCCGCCTCTCCCCCTTCCCCTGCAGTCGCTCGTTCACTTGCGCCATCTGTCAGTGTGGGGCAGCAGCATCACCAACGCCTCTGCGCCGCTGCTCCCTTTTCCCCCACTCCCACCATCCTCTTTCCACCCCCGCCTCTCCCCCTTCGCCTGCAGTCGCTCGTTCACTTGCGCCATCTGTCAGTGTGGGGCAGCAGCATCACCAACGCCTCTGCGCCGCTGCTCCCTTTCCCCCACTCCCACCATCCTCTTTCCACCCCCGCCTCTCCCCCTTCCCCTGCAGTCGCTCGTTCACTTGCACCATCTGTCAGTGTGGGGCAGCAGCATCACCAACGCCTCTGCGCCGCTGCTCCCTTTTCCCCCACTCCCACCATCCTCTTTCCACCCCCGCCTCTCCCCCTTCGCCTGCAGTCGCTCGTTCACTTGCGCCATCTGTCAGTGTGGGGCAGCAGCATCACCAACGCCTCTGCGCCGCTGCTCCCTTTCCCCCACTCCCACCATCCTCTTTCCACCCCCGCCTCTCCCCCTTCCCCTGCAGTCGCTCGTTCACTTGCGCCATCTGTCAGTGTGGGGCAGCAGCATCACCAGCGCCTCTGCCTCGCTGCTCCTCGCCTTCCCCCGCCTGCTCTCCGCCAACCTCGCCTGGACTGCCCTCTCCCACCTCCCCGCCCACCCCTCCCTCACCGCCCTCCACCTCTCCCACTGCCCCCTGCTTTCCATTGGCTTCCCTCTCCCCTCCTCCTCATCCTCTCCCTCCGCCTCCTCTCCTTCCTCCTCTCACTCCTCCTCCTCTTCCTCCTTCCCCCTCACTCATCTGGTTCTCTCTGGTGCCTCAATCGCTCCTCCCTCCTCCCTCTTCCCTCCTCACCTCCTCGCCTTCCTCACTCACCTCACCTCGACCCCTCTACTGCTGCTGTCCCTGACGCCCTTCTGTTACACCTCGCCCACTCCCTTCCCCTAGCTCCTCACCACTCTCCCTCACACACCTTGATCTCTCTGGCTGACTCTGTTTCCCCTGCTCATTCTCTTCCCCTCGGCTCACTCTGTTTGGCCTGCTCATTCTCTTTCCCCCGGCTCACTCTGTTTGGCCTGCTCATTCTCTTCCCCCCGGCTCACTCTGTTTCCCCTGCTCATTCTCTTCCCCCCGGCTCACTCTGTTTCCCCTGCTCCTTCACTTCCCCCCGGCTCGCTTTGTTTCTTCCTGTTCACTCTAATTTCCGCTACTCAGTCTGTTCCCCCTTTCACTCACCCCCATTTCCAGCCGCGCAGGGTACAGGTCCCAGCACCATGGCCCAGGGTTTATTGCATGCAGTGTAGCAGCCAAGAGTGGCCCAAAAACATTACATTTCTAGCTGTCTTCTTGGTGACATTAGTCAGTTGCCAAGTACTTCCTTTGTAGTGGTCATGTGCATGGCTGCTTCTGAGCAAAGTGTTTGTATTATAACAAAGCATCCAACATCAATATACGGCATGGCCAATCATTGTAGCACTCTCAAACAGTCAACACATCACCACAACCAGATGCATAGCAGACATGTATACAAACACAAACCAGGAAATAAGATGTGACATGGCTGTGCAGCAGGGAAGTAATACAAGATAATGAGAAGGACAAGCAGCCAACACGGGAAATGATAACGCAAGGTCCCTCGATTTATGCATACAGTTGAAGAGGAACAGAAGAAGGGATGAAAAGAGGAAGGGTGGAAAAGAGGGAGGAACTGATGAAGGGAGGAACGGCGGGGGAGAAGAACACGACAGCACTCACCAGCACAGCACTCACCAGCACTGCACTCACCAGCACAGCACTCACCAGCACTGCACTCACCAGCACAGCACTCACCAGCACAGCACTCACCAGCACTGCACTCACCAGCACTGCACTCACCAGCACTGCACTCACCAGCACAGCACTCACCAGCACTGCACTCACCAGCACTGCACTCACCAGCACTGCACTCACCAGCACAGCACTCACCAGCACAGCACTCACCAGCACTGCACTCACCAGCACTGCACTCACCAGCACTGCACTCACCAGCACTGCACTCACCAGCACTGCACTCACCAGCACTGCACTCACCAGCACAGCACTCACCAGCACTGCACTCACCAGCACTGCACTCACCAGCACTGCACTCACCAGCACTGCACTCACCAGCACTGCACTCACCAGCACTGCACTCACCAGCACTGCACTCACCAGCACTGCACTCACCAGCACAGCACTCACCAGCACAGCACTCACCAGCACTGCACTCACCAGCGCTGCACTCACCAGCACTGCACTCACCAGCACAGCACTCACCAGCACAGCACTCACCAGCACTGCACTCACCAGCACAGCACTCACCAGCACTGCACTCACCAGCACAGCACTCACCAGCACTGCACTCACCAGCACTGCACTCACCAGCACTGCACTCACCAGCACAGCACTCACCAGCACAGCACTCACCAGCACTGCACTCACCAGCACTGCACTCACCAGCACTGCACTCACCAGCACAGCACTCACCAGCACTGCACTCACCAGCACTGCACTCACCAGCACAGCACTCACCAGCACTGCACTCACCAGCACTGCACTCACCAGCACAGCACTCACCAGCACTGCACTCACCAGCACTGCACTCACCAGCACTGCACTCACCAGCACTGCACTCACCAGCACAGCACTCACCAGCACAGCACTCACCAGCACAGCACTCACCAGCACTGCACTCACCAGCACTGCACTCACCAGCACTGCACTCACCAGCACAGCACTCACCAGCACAGTACTCACCAGCACTGCACTCACCAGCACTGCACTCACCAGCACAGCACTCACCAGCACAGCACTCACCAGCACTGCACTCACCAGCACAGCACTCACCAGCACCACCAGCACAGCACTCACCAGCACTGCACTCACCAGCACTGCACTCACCAGCACAGCACTCACCAGCACTGCACTCACCAGCACTGCACTCACCAGCACTGCACTCACCAGCACTGCACTCACCAGCACTGCACTCACCAGCACAGCACTCACCAGCACAGCACTCACCAGCACTGCACTCACCAGCACAGCACTCACCAGCACTGCACTCACCAGCACTGCACTCACCAGCACAGCACTCACCAGCACTGCACTCACCAGCACTGCACTCACCAGCACTGCACTCACCAGCACTGCACTCACCAGCACAGCACTCACCAGCACAGCACTCACCAGCACTGCACTCACCAGCACTGCACTCACCAGCACTGCACTCACCAGCACAGCACTCACCAGCACTGCACTCACCAGCACTGCACTCACCAGCACAGCACTCACCAGCACTGCACTCACCAGCACTGCAGGGTGGGTGAGTGAGCAGGGAGTGTGAGTGAGCAGGGTGTGTGAGTGAGAAGGGTGACAACTACAGCATTGACTATGGCAATCCCCCCTGTTGGCGCCCACTGCTGCTTCTGTGTCGGAGGTGTGTGGTATGCCACCACTTCCTTGAAGGCTGCTGCTGCCGCCCACAGAGGGCCAGAACAAGGGGGAAAACGGAGGGAAGGAGAAGGGGAAAGGGAGGGAGGGAGAAGGGTGTGAGAGAGGGACGGGTGTGAGAGAGGGATGGGTGTGAGAGAGGGACGGGTGTGAGAGAGGGACGGGTGTGAGAGAAGGACGGAAGTGAGAGAGGGACGGGATTGATTGAGGGAGCGAGAAAGCGCGGTGGCATCGTTCTCGCGTGAGGAGGGTGCGAGAGCAACGGGTGAGAATGCGGGACGACAGTGACTGCGGAACGGGTGGGATTGCTGCGTGCTACGAGGTGAGCGAGGAACGGAGCAGCGAGGAGAGGAACGGAGCAGCGAGGAGAGGAACGGAGCAGCGAGGAGAGGAACGGAGCAGCGAGGAAAGGAACGGAGCAGCGAGGAGAGGAACGGAGCAGCGAGGAGAGGAACGGAGCAGCGAGGAGAGGAACGGAGCAGCGAGGAAAGGAACGGAGCAGCGAGGAGAGGAACGGAGCAGCGAGGAGAGGAACGGAGCAGCGAGGAAAGGAACGGAGCAGCGAGGAGAGGAACGGAGCAGCGAGGAAAGGAACGGAGCAGCGAGGAGAGGAACGGGGCAGCGAGGAAAGGAACGGAGCAGCGAGGAAAGGAACGGAGCAGCGAGGAAAGGAACGGAGCAGCGAGGAGAGGAACGGAGCAGCGAGGAGAGGAACGGAGCAGCGAGGAGAGGAACGGAGCAGCGAGGAGAGGAACGGAGCAGCGAGGAGAGGAACGGAGCAGCGAGGAGAGGAACGGAGCAGCGAGGAGAGGAACGGAGCAGCGAGGAGAGGGGAAGGAGAGGGGGAACTGATGCGGAGCAGAAGGGGAAAGTATGGAAAGCACTGGGGGCATTCATGGGGAGCAAAAGGGGAAAATTTGGGGAGCAAAAGGCATTCTTGGGGAGCAAAAGGGCATTCATGGGGAGCAAAAGGGGTAAATTTGGGGAGCAAAAGGCATTCTTGGGGAGCAAAAGGGCATTCATGGGGAGCAAAAGGCATTCTTCCCCCTCCCTGCTCACCTACCTCCCCCTTATCACAGCACCTCCCTTCCCCCTCTCATCTCACCTCCCAACCACCTCTGACCTCACCTCCCTTTCCACTCCCTAAGCACCTCTCTTCCCCATCTCACATCACTTATTTCCCCCCTGCTAGCACCTCCATCCCCCCTAACTAAGAACCTCTCTTCCTCCTCCGAACTCACACACCTTTCCAACTCCCCTCACCTACCTTCACCGTCTGACCTCTCCTCTCTTCCCCCTCCCTAAGCACATTTTTTCCCCCTCTCACATCACATCCGTTTCCCTTATCTCAACACATCCCCCCCCCCCCCCCTCTGAACTCACCTCCCTTCCCCCTCCCACAACACACACACCCTATCATGGCACCTCCATTCCCCCGTCTGACCTCACATCCCTCCCCCATTCCCTCTCATTCCGCCATTTTCCATCATTTCGCCTCTCATTCCGCCATTTTCCACCATTGCGCCTCTCATTCCGCCATTTACCACCATTTCGCCTCTTATTCCGCCATCTACCACCATTCCGCCTCCCCGCCAACTTCCACCATTCCGCGTCTCATTCCGCCCATCATTTCGCCTCTCTAACCGCCATCTAACGCCATTCCGCCACTAATTCCGCCATCTACCGCCATTCCGCCACTAATTCCGCCATCTACCGCCATTCCGCCAATAATTCCGCCATCCACCGCCATTCCGCCACTAATTCCGCCATCTACCGCCATTCCGCCAAAAATTCCGCCATCCACCGCCATTCCGCCACTAATTCCGCCATATACCACCATTCCGCCACTAATTCCGCATGGAATAAAACCGCAAATCCGTCGAGCTCACCTACTAAAGGCAGGGGAGGAGTGCGAGGCAACCCGGAATGGGGTATCACGATGCAGAATGTAAACGAAGTGATGTGGAGCGGGACTCAAAGAAGTGGGTTGTCTAAGTGCATAATGAGGTTCTTGGTGAATGACCTATGAGGACTTCTCTGTGATAGTATACGCTAGGACACGCGATAGTAAAGCGTAAAACACTTGAACGGGTGCAGGAACTACGCTCCTTGTGAGAATGGTAGAGTTGGGTGTCTCATATTTCCGACCCCTGTAAAATGCTTGGTCTGCACACGGGAGAGTGCGACACTCTGTTGTCGCAGCCTGTGGTTTCGTCGCGCAGGTGTGTCTCCCAGCCTGGTTTGGCGAAACCATACACTGAGTCACCCCACGTTGTTTGTACTGTACATTTGGTTTGCGGGGCCGACCCACACCCAACCAACCTTCCCAAACCTAACCCTTGCTTGGGGGTGTTATGCGACAAAACAGGCTGTTACCGGATCCCAAGCGTTTAACACTTGGTTGGAACGAAAAAATATGAGACGCGAGCTTTAACCAGTCTTTCTGCAACCGACGCATCCACAACCGCGGACATCCTTTCCCCCTGATTTTCCCCTTTCCGCACCGCAGCACCTGCCTTTCTTTCCTCCCTTCCTTCCTAGTGCCTTGTTTCTGTTCCGACCATTTGAAGTTAGCAAAATTACGTGCTTTTCGGGTTCGCCGAGTTAGTAACTAGCCGTTCCTTACTTACGTGGTCGCATTGGGTCCGCCGTCATGAATTACCGTTTCAAGAACCTCCTCGGTGCGCCGTACCGAGGAGGTAACATCCTCCTTCGCGAAGACACGAAACTCTATTCGCCAGTTGGTAACCGCGTCAACGTCGTAGACCTGACGGCATCGGAGTCGAACACGCTTCCGTTTCAGACAATGACTGACGTGTCACTCATCGCGCTATCCCCCGACGGAAACCTTCTAATAGCCGTCGATTCAGATGGACGGTCCAGAATGGTCAACGTGCATCGGCGCGTAGTGCTCCACCTTTTCAGATTCAAGTTCCCCGTGGGAGCCCTAAAATTCAGCCCGGACGGAAAATTCTTCGCAGCAGGGGTTGGGCGACAACTCCAAATTTGGCACACGCCGGAAATGCGAAAAACCTTTTCGCCCATGCGACTGTTCAAGTCGTTCTCGGGGGGTTACGACAAGGTCACGGCCATTGATTGGTCCCCCGACGGGAAGTGGATCGTGGCCGCAAACAAAGACCTTACGGCCAGGATTTACTCCCTGGATTCCCTCAAGGTGTACAAGCCGGTGCGGCTGACTGGGCACAAGGATGTGATTGTAGGCGCGTTCTTCTATGGAGGGGGCTCTGCCATTATGACTGGAGCTGGCCCGAACTTCAAACGGGCGGACGTGGCTCTGGGTTTAAGGGGGGTTCAGGGGGGACAGGAGGGGCTGGGGGAGGGACCCGGTGGGGCGGAAAAGGCGCTGCGGATATACACGGTCTCGAAAGACGGCGCGCTGTTCTCGTGGTTCTTTGATCCGCTGCACAAGGGCTGGCGGAGGCGGAAGGGGAAGGGGCGCAGGGCCAGCAGGGGGGACCAGGGGGATAAGGGGGTAAAGGTTTATAAGAGGTCTAAGGAGGGGGAAGGCGGGGAGGTGGTAGATGATGGCGGGGAGGATGGGGATGATGAGGAGGGGAATGAGGATAAGGAGGAGGGGGGGGATGATGAGGAGGAAAATGAGGAGGAGAATGAGGGGAAGGATGTGAAGAAAGGAGAGAAAGGGAAGACGAAGGAAGAGGAGGAAGAGGAGGAGGAAGAGGAAGTGGAGGAGGAGGAGGAAGAAGAAGAGGAGGAGGAAGAGGAAGAGGAGAAAGGGGCTGAGGTGGAGGAGGATGGTGATATGGAGAAGGAAGCAGAGAAGGACGACGAGGAGGAAGATGAGGAAGAGGAGGAGGAGGATGAGGAGGAAGTGGAGGAGGAGGAGGGGGATAAGGAGGGGAATGAGGAGGAGGAGGGGGCAGAGGAGGAGGAGCAGCCAAGGAAGAGATCACGGCTGGTAGAGAAGGCACCCGCACCCGCCCATGTCCGCCGGGACTTCCGATTGGACGAGGGCAAGTGGCGCCTTGAGGCGAAACATTTCTTCATGCTGCCCAAAGCCCGCCTCACCTCCTGCGACCTGCACAAGCCCACCAATCTCCTCGTCGCCGGCTTCTCTTCGGGCATCTTCGGGCTGTACCAGCTGCCCGAGTTCGCCACGCTGCACCTCATGTCCATCTCCCGCACCAAAATCTCCTCCGTCTCGTTCAACGAGGCGGGGGACTGGGTGGCAGTGGGCTGCGCGCGCCTGGGGCAGCTGCTGGTATGGGAGTGGCGATCGGAAACCTACGTGATGAAGGTTCAGGGTCATTTCTATGATGTCAGCTGTGTTGCGTTCTCTCCAGACGGCACCCGTGTGGTAACCGGGTCGGACGATGCCAAGGTGAAGGTCTGGAGCCTCGCGTCGGGGTTCTGCTTTGTAACGCTTGCGGAGCATACTGGTCCAGTTACTGCCGTCGCCTTTCTCCCGTCCGGCGGCGCGGGGTCGGCAGCGGCCGCGGCGGCGGGCGGCGCGGGCGGCGGCGGGGGCGGCGGGGCGGTGGTGAGCGCGTCGCTGGACGGCACGGTGCGGGCGTTCGACCTGCTGCGGTACCGCTGCTTCCGCACGCTCACCACGCCGCAGCCCGTGCAGTTTGCGTCGCTGGCTGTGCACCCGTCGGGGGAGGTGGTGTGTGCGGCGAGTCAGGACGACTTCCAGGTGTACGTGTGGAGCATGCGCACTGGCCGGCTGTTGGACGTGCTGTCGGGGCATGAGGGGCCCGTGCACAGCCTCTCTTTCTCGCCCACGCAGGTGAGCAGAGCAATGTTGGGAGGTGTTAGCCGAGATGGATATAGGTGCGTGTTTGTGGAACATGCATAGTCTCGCCTTCTCGGCTCACCCTACCCTCCTTCCCTTTAGCTTTAGGGACTTCTCAAAGTAACTCCTGTAAACCTCCCCTCAACCCTTCCCGTTGCACCACAGGAACTGCTGGCGTCAGCAGCATGGGACAGCACATGCCGGCTGTGGGACGTGTTCGAGGCCAAGGGCGGAACAGAGCCCCTCCCGCACTCGCACGAGGTGCTCGCCCTCGCCTTCCGCCCGGACGGCCGCCAGCTGGCGACCGCCACGCTGGACGGCCACATCCACCTGTGGGACCCCCTGGAGGGCGAGCTGCAGGGGAGCATCGAGGGGCGGCGGGATTTGGTCGGCGGGGCGGCGGCGGCGGGCGGCAAGGGCGGCAAGGCTGGGCGGGGCGCGCTGCGGCTGGGGGATAAGAGCTTTCGGAGTCTGTGTTACTCGGCGGATGGGTGCTTTCTGCTGGCTGCTGGGACGAGCAGATACGTGTGCCTTTATGATGTGGCAGAGATGGTGAGTGAGGGGTGCTGTGCGGTGGGAAGGTGGGGTGTGGGGTTGGTTGGGGTGCGATGAGGCGTGCATTCTCATTATCAAAAGGCACCAGCAGTGCATGACCGAATCTTTGTCTTTGCCTGCCTCCCTGTCTCTTCCCGCTTCTCCCACCCCGTACCCTCCCTCTTCCTCAGCTGTTGCTGCGGCGCTACCTCATAACGAGCAACAAGTCCCTGTCTGGCGCCATGGACTCACTCAACCCGCACCGCATGACGGACGCAGGCCCGCTCGACATCCTCGATATAAGCGACTCCGATTTGGACGACAACGACCTCGACGACTCGCACCGCCAGCGCCGCCACACGCTGCTCGGCTCCGACCTCCCCGGGGCGGCGAGAAACGGCAGCCAGCGCCGCCCGGAGATCCGCGTGAAGACAATCCAATTCTCGCCGACCGGGCAGTCCTGGGCGGCGGCGACAACCGAAGGGCTGGTGGTGTTTGGGTTGGATGAAGGGGTGGTGTTTGATCCATCGGATCTAGACATCGATGTTACACCGGCGGCTGTAGCGGCTGCTACAGCCGCTGGGCTGCACGCGAGGGCGATACAGATGGCGCTGCGGCTGAATGAGACGAAGCTGCTACAGGACGCGATGATGGCGGTGCCGCCCGAACGGCTGGGTGGTACAGTGTCGGCCCTGCCGAGGAAACGGCTGGGGAAGGTGGTGGCGGCCGTGGCAGCCATGCTTGAGGGGCGGCCTGAGCTGGAATACGTGCTGCTGTGGTGCAAGGTGAGGGGGGGAGTGGGGGAGGGGGTGTCGGGAAGGCTTGGGGGCGTTTAAAGCTGAGGGTATGAAGGATGTGATGGAGGGGCGTAACTAGTGGCTCTGGTGTTGGAATGCTGGAGGGACAGCTGAGCTGGAATGCGTGCTGCTGTGGTGCAAGGTGAGTGGGGAGCGGTGTGAAGAGTGCAAAAAGAGGAGGGGAGTGATTAAGGTGAGTGGCAATGGGAGTGTACGAGGGAGCACTGACTCACATGCCGACCTTCTCCCTCATGCTCACCTCCTCCCTCATTCTCACCTCCTCCCTCATTCTCACCTCCTCCCTCATTCTCACCTCCTCCCTCATTCTCACCTCCTCCCTCATTCTCACCTCCTCCCTCATTTTCACCTCCTCCCTCATTCTCACCTCCTCCCTCATTCTCACCTCCTCCCTCAAGCTGGCACTTCTCTTATTTTCTGGCAAGACATGTATGGTGCGACCCGGCACATGCTGTCTCATCCTCCCACTCAGGCACGCTCTCACCTTCCCCTTCTTCCCCCCTCCCTCCCCCTCCTCCTCCCGCACTGCAGGAGTTGGTGCTGCAACACGGCAAGGCTCTCGCCCTGCCGCCCGGCACGCCGGGGCGGGCGGCGCTGCGGCCGCCCATGCAAGCGCTGTCACGGGCGCTGATTCAGATGCACGATGACCTGGCACTCTCCGCCTCGTCCAATCAGCACCTCCTGCAGTACCTCGACTCGCTGCCCACTCCCAATGTTGCCACCACGACTACGTGATGCCATGCTGCTGACGTGGCATGCTGCTGACGTGGGTAGCCCCTTGCTGGTACCCTGCTTCTGAAACCCCTCAGTGTTAGTTGAGACCATCGTCACCCAAAAACTCAGTCATGTAAAGACATCGAATGCTGACTTATGACAAAACATCTTCGGCACAGGACTTCAGGTAAAAAATATACGGTATATGCAGCACCTGTTGTACAGGCAGTCACACACACAACACAATGGGTGATCACTTTCACTTTCAACTGGCTGAGGAAAGCCCAACCACACACAAGGCCAGCCAAGATCGAAAGGGTTGTACACAAACTGCACTCCTTGTGTTGCCCCATTGCCCCCCAACAAACCATCACCCAGCTTAGCCTCTCCACCCTACCACTCTGCCTCAGCCCGCCAGGCACGTTCTGGCAGAACTGGGCAGCCTTGTCCGACTCCACTGAGGGAGCCACGAGGGGCACGAGCGACTGTAACCGCGTAACAGCCGCACGATGCGCCTCCACCTCTACCTCATGGCGTACAACCGCACCATTGCCTCCTTGCTGTACGCCTGTGTCTCCTCGGCTACCTGCTCCAATTCCCTGTTGGCTTGTGTGGCTGCATCCAGCTGGGCAGAGAAAGTGTTGATCTGCCAGAACGAGGAGAGATGGCTGGGAAAGGAGGAAAAACAGGAAGGAGGAGTGAATTTTGCCTGCCTCGGTGCTCCCCTGTCCTCCAGTGCCCTGCTCGCGTTTGTGGCTGAGTCCAGCTGCGCAAAGAGAATGTTGATTTGTCAGGAAAAGAAAAAGGATGGTGGGAGAGGAACAGGGCGGAGAAACAACAATGCATGGATGTTCTTCTTCTACCGGGTCACCTGGCTGCGCTTGTCTGGGCCTATTGCCAAGCCAGCAAGGGCTTGGGTGGGTTGCAAGCATCATCGGTCATCTTCGCTCGCAAATGAAGAGCGTCCGCTGCACTTCCTGCACATGTGCGGATCCTTCCGCGTTTTGGGGCTGGAAGCGCTCATTCGGAGCGTTTTTCTTCTACCGGGTCACCTGACTGCGCTTGTCTGGGCCTTTTGCCAAACCAGCAAGGGCATGGGAGGGTTGCGAGCATCATTGGTCATCAGCGCTCGCGAATGAAGAGAGCACCGCTGCACTTCCTGCACATGTGCAGATCCTTCCGCGTTTTGGGGCTGGAAGCGCTCGTCTGAGCGTTTTTCTTCTACCGGGTCACCTGGCTGCGCTTTTCTGTGCCTATTGCCAAGCCAGCAAGGGCGTGGGAGGGTTGCGAGCATCATTGGTCATCAGCGCTCGCGAATGAAGAGCGCCCGCTGCATTTCCTGCACATGTGCGGATCCTTCCGCGTTTTGGGGCTGGAAGCGCTCGTTCGGAGCGTTTTTCTTCTACCGGGTCACCAGGCTGCGCTTGTCTGGGCCTATTGCCAAGCCAGCAATGGCGTGGGTGGGTTGCAAGCATCATCGGTCATCGACGCTCGTGAATGAGGAGTGCCCGCTGCACTTCCAGCACATGTGCGGATCCTTCCGCGTTTTGGGGCTGGAAGCGCTCGTTCGGAGCATTTTTCTTCTACCGGGTCACCTGGCTGCGCTTTTCTGGGCCTATTGCCAAGCCAGTAAGGGCGTGGGAGGGTTGCGAGCATCATTGGTCATCAGCGCTCGAGAATGAAGAGCGCCCGCTGCAGTTCCTTCACATGTGCAAACCATTCAACGTTTTGGGGCTGGAAGCGCTCGTTCGGAACGTTTTTCTTCTACCGGGTCACCTGGCTGCGCTTGTCTGGGCCTTTTGCCAAGCCAGCAAAAGCGTGGGTGGGATGCAAGCATCATCGGTCATCGGCGCTCGCAAATGATGAGCGCCCGCTGCACTTCCTGCACATGTGCGGATCCTTCCGCGTTTTGTGGCTTGAAGCGCTCGTTCTGAGCGTTTTTCTTCCGTTGGGTCACCAGGCTACGCTTGTCTTGGCCTATTGCCAAGCCAGCAAGGGCTTGGGTGGGTTGCAAGCATCATCGGTCATCGGTACTCGCGAATGCGTGTTCGGAACGTTTTTCTTCTACCGGGTCACCTGGCTGCGCTTGTCTGGGCCTTTTGCCAAGCCAGCAAAAGCGTGGGTGGGATGCAAGCATCATCGGTCATCGGCGCTCGCAAATGATGAGCGGCCACTGCACTTCCTGCACATGTGCAGATCCTTCCGCGTTTTGGGGCTAGAAGCGCTCGTTCCGAGCGTTTTTCTTATGCCGGGTCACATGGCTGTGCTTGTCTGGGCCTATTGCCAAGCCAGCAAGGGCGTTGGAGGGTTGCGAGCATCATTGGTCATCAGCGCTCGCGAATGAAGAGCGCCCGCTGCACATCTTGCACATGTGCGGATCCTTCCGCGTTTTGGGGTCGGAAGCGCTCGTTCGGAGCGTTTCTTCTTCTGCCGGGTCACCTGGCTGCGCTTTTCTGGGCCTATTGCCAAGCATGGGAGGGTTGCAAGCATCATTGGTCATCAGCGCTCGCGAATGAAGAGCGCCCGCTGCACTTCCTGCACATGTGCGGATTCTTCCGCGTTTTGGGGCTGGAAGCGCTCGTTCTGAGCGTTTTTCTTTCGTTGGGTCACTAGGCTGCGCTTGTCTGGGCCTATTGCCAAGCCAGCAAGGGCTTGGGTGAATTGCAAGTATCATCGGTCATCGGCGCCCGCGAATGAAGAGCGCCCGCTGGACTTCCTGCACATGTGCGGAACCATCCGTGTTTTGGGGCTGGAAGCGCTCGTTCTGAGCGTTTTTCTTCCGTTGGATCACTAGGCTGCGCTTGTCTGGGCCTATTGCCAAGCCAGCAAGGGCTTGGGTGGGTTGCAAGCATCATCGGTCATCGGCGCTCGCGAATGAAGAGCGCCCGCTGCACTTCCTGCACATGTGTGGATCATTCCGCGTTTTGGGGCTGGAAGCGCTCGTTCGGAACGTTTATCTTCTACCGGGTCACCTCGCTGCGCTTGTCTGGGCCTATTGCCAAGCCAGCAAGGGCTTGGGTGAATTGCAAGTATCATCGGTCATCGGCGCCCGCGAATGAAGAGCGCCCGCTGGACTTCCTGCACATGTGCGGAACCATCCGTGTTTTGGGGCTGGAAGCGCTCGTTCTGAGCGTTTTTCTTCCGTTGGATCACTAGGCTGCGCTTGTCTGGGCCTATTGCGAAGCCAGCATGGGCGTGGAAGGGTTGCGAGCATCACTGGTCATAAGCGCTCGCGAATGAAGAGCGCCCGCTGCACTTCCTGCACATGTGCGGATCCTTCCGCGTTTCGGGGCTGGAAGCGCTCGTCTGAGCGTTTTTCTTCTACCGGGTCACCTGGCTGCGCTTGTCTGTTCCTATTGCCAAGCCAGCAAGGGCGTGGGGAGGGTTGTGAGCATCATTGGTCATCTGCGCTCGCGAATGAAGAGCGCCCGCTGCACTTCCTGCACATGTGCAGATCCTTCCACGTTTTGAGGCTGGAAGCGCTCGTTCTGAGAGTTTTTCTTCTGCTGAGTCACCAGGCTGCACTTGTCTGGACCTATTGCCAAGCCAGCAAGGGCTTCGGTGGGTTGCAAGCATCATCGGTCATCGGCACTCGCAAATGAATAGCGATCGCTGCACTCCCTGCACATGTGCGGATCCTTCCGTGTTTTGTGGCTTGAAGCGCTCGTTCTGAGCGTTTTTCTTCCGTTGGGTCACCAGGTTGCGCTTGTCTGGGCCTATTGCCAAGCCAGCAAGGGCTTGGGTGGGTTGCAAGCATCATCGGTCATCGACGCTCGCGAATGAAGAGCGCCCGCTGCACTTCCTGCACATGTGCGGATCATTCCGCGTTTTGGGGCTGGAAGCGCTCGTTGGTGCGTTTTTCTTCTACCGGGGTACCTGGCTGCGCTTGTCTGGGCCTATTATTGCCAAGCCAGCAAGGGCTTGAGTGGGTTGCAAGCATCATCAGTCATCGGCGCTCGCGAATGAAGAGCGCCCGCTGCACTTCCTGCACATGTGCGGATCCTTCCGCGTTTTGGGGCTGGAAGCGCTCGTTCTGAGCGGTTTTCTTCTACCGGGTCACCAGGCTGCGCTTGTCTAGGCCTATTGCCAAGCCAGCAAGGGCGAGCGAGGGTTGCATGCATCATTGGTCATCAACACTCGCGAATGAAGAGCGCCCGCTGCACTTCCTGCACATGTCGCGGATCCTTTCGTGTTTTGGGGCTGGAAGCGCTCGTCTGAGCGTTTTTCTTCTACCGGATCACCTGACTGCGCTTGTCTGGGCCTATTGCCAAGCCAGCAAGGGCGTGGGAGGGTTACGAGCATCATTGGTCATCAGCGCTCGCGAATGAAGAGCGCTCGCTGCACTTCCTGCACATGCGCGGATCCTTCCGAGTTTTGGGGCTGGAAGCGCTCGTCTGAGCGTTTTTCTTCTACCGGGTCACCTGGCTGCGCTTGTCTGGGCCTATTGCCAAGCCAGCAAGGGCGTGGGAGGGTTGCAAGCAGCATCCGTCATCGGCGCTCGCAAATGATGAGCGCCCGCTGCACTTCCTGCACATGTGCGGATCCTTCCGTGTTTTGTGGCTTCAAGCGCTCGTTCTGAGCGTTTTTCTTCCGTTGGGTCACCAGGCTGCGCTTGTCTTGGCCTATAGCCAATCCAGCAAGGGCTTGGGTGGGTTGCAAGCATCATCGATCATCGGCGCTCGCGAATGAAGAGCGCCCGCTGCACTTCCTGCACATGTGCGGATCATTTCGCGTTTTGGGGCTGAAAGCGCTCGTTCGGATCGTTTTTCTTCTACCGGGTCACCTGGCTGCGCATGTCTGGGCCTATTGCCAAGCCAGCAAGGGCGTGGGAGGGTTGCGAGCATCATTGGTCATTAGCGCTCGAGAATGAAGAGTGCCCGCTGCACTTCCAGCACATGTGCGGATCCTTCCGCGTTTTGGGGCTGGAAGCGCTCGTCAGAGCGTTTTTCTTCTACCGGGTCACCTGGCTGCGCTTATCTAAGCCTATTGCCAAGCCAGCAAGGGCGTGGGAGGGTTGCGAG